GATGGTTGCTTCTGAAACTGAATTTGTATTGAATATGGGGACTAGCTGAAATCCAAACTGGACAAGTACTGGGGTGATCCAGAAAAAATGAACATGCTCATTTTCTTTGCAAATGTGCTAGACCCTAGAGACAAATATGAGTACATGTCACATCAATTGAATGCTTTGTATGTGGATAAGATAGGTGAGGCATTCTTTGCAAGATAAAGTTGGGTTTGAATGAGTTGTATGGTGACTATGTTACAAACTATGATGTTTCATTGATGGGTTGATGTTGATTCTATTTCCATATAGTTTCGTATGCCCCCATTAATAGTGAAGTCAATTTAAATCTGAGCCAAATATAACAACATACATGCTGCCTTAATGGAAGTACTGGAATTTGGTAATGTGAACATTGAGTTAATTGATTAAGTGTAGCATGTATCTGGCAATGATGATAGCTTCCACCAAAAATGAAAATGATGGGTGTGTGTTGATTCTATTTCCATATAGTTTCGTATGCCCCCATTAATAGTGAAGTCCATTTAAATTTGAGCCAAATATAACAACATACATGCTACCTTAATGGAAGTACTGGAATTTGGTAATGTGAACATTGAGTTAATTGATTAAGTGTAGCGTGTATCTGGCAATGATGATAGCTTCCACCAAAATGAAATTGATGGGTTGGTGTTGATTCTATTTCCATATAGTTTCGTATGCCTCCATTAATAGTGAAGTCAATTTAAATCTGAGCCAAATATAACAAGATACATGCTGCCACTTAGACAGTAAACTGGAATTTGCTTATGCATATGTATTTATGACTTCTGACTTATTAGATTAATTGTTGCATTATTTAATCAGTGATGATAGTTTCCACCAAAAAAATTAAATTAAGAATACAAAACTGAGTCAAATTAAGGATATGCTGCTTCCTGCCTTGGTTTTACTACTGCAATTTTCCTATGTACTTATGAATTATGAGTTCTTACATGAATTGTTTACTCAATTAGTTATTTTGGCAATGAGGATGGCTTCTAGCCTTCTACAGTTCTACCAGAAAATAAAATAAATGGGTTTGGTGTTGATTCTAATTATATAGTGATTAATGCCCCCATTATTAGTGAACTGAAATTAAATCTGATCCAAATCTTATTGTATTTCTATATACTTTTGAATTGTTTATAGTTCCCACTTCCCAAGTTCCCAGTAGAGTTTAGTGTTTTATGATACTAATGTGTTTGTGACTTACATAGGAACAAAATCAATGAATGTTCGGTTGATGATCTGCGAAATTGATCAAACCTGGAATTCTGGAAACACTCTAGTAGACTAGTAGTCAAGTAGATGTCAAGAGTCAAGATCTCAAGACTTGTACATCAATTGAATGATGTTAAACTTTTTGTTGGTACTTGCTGTTTTGGAACATTTGATTTCTCAAACTCTAAATGTTAAACTGCTTTGTGCATAAGCAGTATAACTGTGTAAATGTATAAGTAAGTACCAAGTAGTATTGGAGTAATGTGTATGACTGTATGAGTGTATAAGTGTTAAGTGTATAAGTTATAAACTTATAACTATTACCCATGTGTTTGGAGTTGTACAAACTCTACTAATTTTGTAATTGCTTTTGATAACATAATATTATGTATTTTATTTGTGTTTGTAAAGTTTAATTGTACAATTTTTTTTCAAGGTGATTTTATGAATTATTTGTGTTATGTTTTTAATGGATTTTATTCAGCCCGAATGGCCCCGAGAACCAATTAAAACCGACCCAAATCCGAGATTGTGCAACCCGATTAGCCCGAAATATTTTTTGGACGGGGTAGGGTTTTATATTCTCAACCCGATAACCGAAAGGGTATGCAAAAACCCAACCCGTCCTACCCGAACCCGTCCGACGCTCTCCCCTACTCCAGACCGCCTACGAGATTTTTTGTGCTATAAATAGCCCGATTTTTTCTGAACTCAAACACACCATCTCACACCCAACTAAGATAAAAAAGGGTGTTTTCTTCCTCCTCAAAGCTCAGATTTCCACCATTATTTGACCTCCAACTTCAATCTTTCATATCTTTCTCATTTTAGCTCCAATTTGTAAGTTCTTTATATGAAAATTCATCTTTTCGTCGTGTAGATTCTGTATATGTTGTTTTTATTTTCCAAATGTTGGTGAAACATTCTCTACATTAATTTTAAGAATTTCGTATTTTCCATATTTATTCAAGAAAAATAGTTCTTGTTGTTATATCAATCTCCTACTTAGATAAACTCAATACCTAGTATAAATGATGTTTATTTGTGACAGAAATAAAAGTTTAGATGTTGGGAGTATTCACTTTAATTTTTTATTTTGTTGTTATGATTTATGATCATGTCTTATTTTATATGTAAAGTGTTAAAACTAGTAATGAATTGTTGTAGTTAATTTACTCTTGGGCATGAGTTGAATTAAAGAATATGGGTTGACCTTGTTTGACCGAAAAATAGGAATTTTACTAATTTTATGGACTAGTTGTTTAAAATGATTAATTTGATTACTTAATAGATTTGGTCATTTCATTAATTAAACTTTGGAAGATTATTTATAACTTGTCTATGAGATTATAAATAGTTTAAGCCAAACATATTGAGCACATTAATGAAGCCTAGAGATATGATAAATTAATGGATATAATTTAATCTTTGTCTATGAGAAATAAATTCAATTGTTTAATATGAGAAATTTAATTAATTAATGAAGTTGACCATTTTGTTAGCTAAAATGCGGAAAGTTATATCTATTCTGTCTATGAGATTAGAATATAATTTAGGCTAACCATTTTAAACACATTAATGAAGCCTAGAAATAGGATAAATTAGTGAAGGTAACTTAAATCTTGTCAATGAGAAAAGAAATTACTAGTCCAATCTGTAGTTATAAATACTTCTAATTATTAGGTCCAAGCTAAAAGGATGTACCCATTTTTTAGAATTCAATTCATTGCCCTTCTTTGATCAATCCATTTAGAATTTAATATTATATTTTTCATTTAGTTTATTTTTGAGCCATTATTAGTATTTTGCATAATTTAATTTACTTTCTTTTTCAAAATTTAGTTTACAAAATCAATCAAAAGTTTTAAATCTGAGGCGTTTCTTCGGGAAAGTATCGCGCACATGACTAATTCGAAAAAATAAAAAAAATCGGTTAAGTTATTGGAGGCGCTTTTCCCATACAGCGCCACATGAGTCCCAATTTTTAAAATTAAATTAAAAGTGGAAATAGACTTGGAGGCGCTTCGGTATACACAAGCACCACATGCATGTGAAAAAAAATGAATATCGTACTACAAATAGAGGCGCCTGTAGATATAAGCGCCTCAACGAAGTGCCTATGTTTGGCGTTTTTCCACTAGTGCTAGTTGTGACGTTTCTTCTGTTGTCTGGGCTAGGCTAGCAGCAGTGTTCCAGAGGCATGCAGGGTGATGTCCTAACTAATTGGATTAATTTTTTTAGTATGCCAGATGAGGAGCTTTACAGATATAGTCACATTATGGAGCATCCACCTAGAAAGCCCAAAAATGATGTAGTTTGGAAGGATAGCATGTTCAATTGGACGCGAGTACTAATGGTCAGCGATTCAAGCCCAACAGGATAGATCACAAGCTTGCTATAGATGTCCCGGATAAGACGGACGGGGGCCAATTTTACTTTTCTAGCTCAAATTGTTTTTCTTACCGGTTGGCCAACGGTGCTTTAATATAGTTTGGCGCTTTACTTTTTAAAAAGTGGTTAATTAAGGTATAATATGGCTGTGGTGTTGAAGGGAGAAGATGAAGGGTTGAAGATCCGTCCCCTCCTGAACCGCCGCTATGCTGGAAATGGGTGTTTAGGGGTCGGAATATCGCACTGGAAGATTGGGTTCAGTGGCTCAATAAGTTCATCCAACTTAAATTAATTGTCCCCATTTTTAGTCTGTTTTTGAAGAATTTCGTTGTTATCGTTTTGCTTTTGGTATTTGCTTATGGTAATAGGCTTTTTACATTGATCGAGGGTTCGGCTAGATTTGATATTGTTAGTGGGGGACGAATCTATTTTTTCAGCAATAGTTGCATTAAGCTCGTCTGGTGGTTAGCGATTCGTATTGCTCCTTTAGGGATGGTCGTCTCTATGTCTAATTGTAGGGCTAAAAACAGTAGTTGGAAGGTGAAGGTTGTTGTCAGTTCTGGTCAGTTTGAGATTGTTGTAACGATCCTAATTCTAATTAACGATATCAATATAGTCGTTTTCCTTTAAAAAAATGTATAATCTGGCTGTATGACCGTATGGGTCTATCTTTTTCATTTATTTATTTCCAGAAATCGTCCTAATTGGAGTAAAAACGTTTGAGTATTCCAAAATACGAGTGTTAGATTTTTATTTCCTAAATATGAGTAGTTATTGTCAAGTTTTGAATATATCGACACTTTTAATGGTATACTATCATGTTTAAAGTAATTTCACTTCTATTTCCGAAATTTTCCCCTCACTTCAACATGTTCCCATACTATAAAGTGGATAGGGACCGGTTGATTCCAAAAAAGTTTCACTTACGTCGATCTTCTAATTTGAAAGAAACCAGTCACTAGTAGGAGTAGCAGAAGTTATTAGGCACACCAAATATCACCACATAATACTTGTTTACATATAGCTAGCGAACTAGGCCCCCGGCCCCTCTAATTTTTAACGACAACCAAAAGTATATACTTCGCATAAACGAAATCAACTCAAGCGGGAGTTCACTAAAAACCAAAGCTAGACATTAATGAGATATACTATCGTATAAATTACAGAAATGCTTGGTTTACACATTTTTGTACCCATTTTAACTATGAAATTTCTAAAACATCTACAATTTTTTAGATGAATTGTTCGTGATACCGACAAAATGTACTGAGACGTGTACAAAATTAAGAAAGTATAGGAATGGCTTTTTCCAAGAAAGTATAAGAATGGCTCTTTTTAGAGCCTTTTCCAAGAAAAGATCGACTTTGAGCATGACGTGCCATCTTATTTGTTTTCTGCGAGACAAATAATTAAACCTACTACCCTTACCTACTCTCCCCCTTCTCCCACTATCATTCATCAGGTGACCAGAAATGAAAGTTTAGTTTTTTGTTGTTTGTTCTTTAACTTTCTGGTCCATATATTACCCACATGCATGATATATGTGCGTACCATCAAACTTGTTTAATTTAATCGCCAGTTTTCTGATGTGGTCGGGTTCGTTCGCCCTAACTTTGTTTTTGTGTTTTTAAGGATTTGGTTGTGTTTGTTTTCATGTTTAACTGTTTCAAGATTTTGCTGTTTGGGTTTGTTTTCGATCTGTTGCTGTTTGGAATTATTGGGAAAAGTCTTTTAGTTTACACCTCTCCTCTCCATATATATATAATAAGCTAGCTGCACAGGTTGTTGGGTAGGTTTTAATATCCACCCTAAGCTAAGTTTAGGGTTTTCACCTCTTAGATCATCTGGTCTGGTACTGCAGTGTTTGAAGATAGCTAGTGAGGATAGAGATGAGAAGTATGGATTTGTAGAAGTTCTTCTTCCAATAGTTCAACACCTTTTCATGTTATTCAAACAGTCTTCCTGGTCTTGCTAGCTAGCTCCTTCAGTCCAAATTAGGGTAAATGAGTAGTTCAATACTCTATCTACCCGTTCAATTCCATTCTACTTTTCTTATTTAAATTATTTCACACTTTTTCAAATAAAATTATTTTACAATTACAAATTTGAAAAGGTATTGTTTGATGCAACTATTGTACGATAAATCGTTAGACGGATGCTAAACATTTTTTGCACTTCTGTTTCAGAACTTAGGTGTTCACACGAACATCTAAGAACGAGTGGATCGATCGAGATCTTTGTATATTGGTTTATTATTTTATATCAACTGATCAGACGAATAATTCAACGTTTGTAACATGAAGTTTTATCATGAGAGCTTGTATGTGTTTTTTTATTTTGTAGATCATAGGTGGTGTTGGCGAAAAGGATGGATTCGATCAGCTATGGTTTCGAAGAAAGAGGGTTTATGTTTTCGGAGAGCGGTTTCGAATTACTACCAAATGATACCACCTTCATAAGGAACACAAAGTCCTTTTACCAAATTGATGAAAGTGTGAATGCTCATAATCATCATCATCTTCATCATCATGACAACAATGAAGTTGAAGAGTTCATGGACTTCGGCTTAGGGGATATGCTTCAAAAGTCACCACCAATTCCAAGTGTATGTGATGATCCATGCTTGTTTAGGGTTTCAAGTGGCGAGAAGATCGACAATAATAATGATAATAATGATAACAATAATAATAACAGTGGTGATGAGATATTATTATCTACATTACCTAGCACTATTATTATACCAGATCCGAATCATCCAACACTATCAGAAGATATAGATGCATGGCGGCTTCAAGTGCCGTTCGGTTTGGCATCAGATCATCAAACCCCGCTATTCCCAGTTTCAGATTATGAATCTGATCACACAGGTCCAATCTTCCAAGTGGGGCATGATTGTGATAAGGGATTCTTATTAGGAGATAATAATAATTTCAAGAAAGTGAAAAGTCTTCATCAAAGGTCAAAGGATAGTTCATCAATGGAAGCTGCTGCTGCTGATGATGAGACTTCTGTGGTAGTGAAAAGGCCGAGGATCAGTACAAGTACTAATTCCCAGCAGCAGCAGACTTCTGTTGGAATTGTGTGCCAAGTTCATGGCTGTTTCCGGGACCTGAGCTCATCAAAAGAGTATCATAAGAGGCATAGAGTTTGTGATGAACACTCTAAGACTGCTAAAGTTATTGTTGATGGCATTGAACAACGGTTTTGTCAGCAATGTAGCAGGTATTTATGTGTAGTAATACTAATCAAATTTGTTATACTTCAATCATAATTACCATAGATATTTCTAAATTACTCCGTATAATTTTTTAAGTGTTTTTAATTAACAAATTAGTATCACATTATACTTCGTACTAAACCCTAAATTATCAATGTAGTATACACTCTTTTTGATGTGCGTCAAATACATAAATGGTACCAACTATTGGTAATGTTGCGTTTTAGTACCTTAACTGTTAAATGAATCAAAACGGTACCTTAACTATACATAAATGTTTCGAATTGAGATTTTATTCAAATTTCCGACTAAAACATCACATGTGGCGGTCAATTTTTTTTGCGTAAAGTCTACTCCACCTTCTTTTTGTTCATATGATCACTATAGGTTGATTCTACACATGAAATTTTGATCGTCATAGAGGATTTTTTTTTTGAAATTTTGAATAAAATCTCAATTCGAAACATTTATTTATAGTTAAGGTACCATTTTGAATAATGTAAGAATTAAACTGCCAAAATGCAACATTACCCATAGTTAAAATACAGTTGACCCCCTTTTTATACAAATATATACTCCGTACGTAATATAGGTCGAAGTTTAACATCTGTGAGAAAATCATTTTGTCATGTAATATATGCATGCGTCTATCGTTAGAATTGTATTTAGAAATTGCTCTAAATAGGAGCAAAAATGTTTTGAAATTCCAAAATAGGAGTATCATGTTTTTTATTACCTGAATAGGAGTAACCTGCCAAATTTAGAAAAAAATGTCATGTTTTAAAGCCTAGTAATGCCAAACTTGACAGAAATTTACTCTTATTCAAAGAATAAAAAACATGATACTCCTATTTTGGAATTTCAAAACTTTTTTACTCCTATTTAGGGAATTCTCTCAACTCAACTGTACTTTTAGGTGAAATTTCTCAAAATTAAATAGGAATAAAAACAATACGGAGTATAAAATTCCGAAGGTAGAAAGTAAAGTACTATATACGTAGTACGTGTTTTCCTTGAATTGGATTAACTTACAACCATGAATAAATTATACTGCCATGGTTTAGCATCAAGAGGCACTAATGTCGCGTAATTTTAAAATATAATGTCAATTAAAGGCTGTTTTACTAGCTAAAATGTACTACATCTAGTAGAAACACTAATTAATAGGTACATGATATGATTTGTAAGCAAGTAAATTTATAGGACTAATAATTGGAACAAACATAAGTGACGTAATTAATTAAGGAGAGTTTGTGGTTGCTTCTACTTAAAAAGTGATATTAAAGAAAATTCTTAATAGTAAAAATTGGTAGTATCGTTTGAGAAAAAAATGATTTTAAAAAAGTAAAAGTTGATAGTAATTGATAAAAAGAAGTAGTTTTTGTATAATAGGAAAAGTGAAAAGTAGTGCACTCTTTCACATGATCTCACGTTTTAGAAGTGCACAATTTAGGGAAAGTTCCCGAAATATGACTAAAACAGTTTCAAATTTCCAAAATAGGACTGTCATGTTTTTTATTCCCCAAATAGGACTAGTTACTGCCATGTTTAGAAAATACTGACATGGCAGAAGTGTTGTACTGCCAAAACATGACAGTAATTAGTCCTATTTTGGGAATAAAAATATGGCAGTCCTGTTTTGAAATTTTCAAACTATTTTAGTCCTATTTCGGGTAATATCTCCACAATTTAAGGCTATGTTTGGCAGGCATAAGTCCCTGCCTTCTAGCTTTTTTACTATTTAAAAAGTCTTTAAAAGCTTCTAGTTGTATGTTTAGCACGCCAATTTTTAAGAGCTTTTATAAAAATAAAAGATCTTTTTTGAGATGCTACAACGAGTAGCATCTCAGATAAGTCAGTAGCTTCTAGTATTAATTAGTCTTAACAACTTATATACCAAACAGAGCTAAATCAAACAGTTAGCTTTTTACCAAATTAAACACGTACTGCCTTTTCTTTTTAAGATCTTTTCAGACTTCAGTCACTAAAAGCTAACAGTTATTAAAAAGCTCATAAAAGTATCTTTTCAGCTAGTTGTGCCAAACATACCCTAAGACTATGTCTGGCTGCATGAGCTTTTACTTGAAGTGGTGAATTTGAATTGCTAGTTAGATGAAGTAAACGTGTTTAGTAAAAATAGCTGAAACACTATGTGCAAAATGTAAAATTACATTACAATTTATATATATTTATATGAAAAGATTCTCATTATGTTGGTCGTGCCCGCGGAGTGGTGGGCAGCGATTTTGAGGGGCAGTTTTGGTTGAAAATTATGTTGTAAACATAGCGGGATCACTTGTCAGCCGTGGAGGTCATTGTTTTGCCCAAAACAATCGCCGAAAAATATGTTCCGACGATCACAATGACATGTTTCACGGCGACAGTGACATGAAAATCTGGTAGTGACAGCTCATAGTGACATGAAAAAATCGCAGTGACATAATTCTCATTGATATCTTATTTTTTCAAATATATGACCTTGTTAATCATATTTTTGTCAAAAAGCAATCACATTTTTAGAAATTGACTTAGAATTTAGTAATCTTTAAGTAGAACCCCAATTAAAAAGCTCCCAAACATTATTAGTTGAGCGCAGAGGTAACCCACATTATTGGAAACTGAGCTAGTGAAGCTTGTGGGTTGGGGTTGATGAGGTTTGGCCGTTTGGGTTACCAAATATGGTCCTACCCTATGATAGCACAATTGGCCCTAGAAAACTAATAATGGAAAAGCAACAATATTAAAATACTGGTGAAAAACAACAATTTTAAAATAACTTGACGCTAAACCGTGCTCCCCATTACTAGAACATTATTGTTTACCTCTGGCCGGACAGTTAAGTAGATGTTTACCTCTGCTGATTATGTTATTCCTTAAATAGGATTCATACACTCTTATTTTGGAAAACTTTAGTCTAATTTATTTTTTTAGTAGGATTAAATAAGACATATTTGAGGAGTAATATATATTTATGTTTTGATCATATATTGAGTAATTTCTATACATAATACAGTTCAAATAAAAACAACCTCAATTACAATTACTGCGTATTGTCCTCCATATCGTATTAGTTGCAATATTGGAATTTATACTTTGACTACATTTTATTTATTAATAGAGTGTTTTGCTATTAGGCAATCATCCTAATTAGACAATCATCCTTTGATATTTTGAAACAGGCTCCTGAAGGCAAGTTTTAAATACAGTGTAAATAGAGCACTTTTAGCGTAAATACAGTGTATTTTTGGTAATTAGACAATCATCCTTTGATATTTTGAAATCAGCTCCTAAAGGCAATTTTTAGAACTCGATAAGATCTTTCCAACGAGATAATTAAACGCTTTCAACAGAACAAAATAGAGCAAAACATATGTGAATTATTTTTTTTTGAAAAATATTTTTGAATTCGTCTCATTACAAAGTTTCATAATCTAATTTTTATTTTTTTTACTAATAGAGAATTAAATAAAATAACGGTCAAAGTTATGCATTAACAAACATGAAAAAGGAAATGTTGCAATTAAAAAAAGGGAGCAAGTATATCTTAAATGACCTGCCTGACTTGCCTAAGATTGTACAGGTTTCATTTGCTGCCAGAATTTGATGATGATAAACGAAGTTGTCGTAAGAGCCTTGCAGGCCACAATGAACGGAGACGAAAGCCTCAGTTTGAAAGTCCCCATGGTACGTAATTGCTCTAAATTTCTCGTTAATGGTTACTCCCTCCGTCCCATAAAATTCTTCTCACTTTTCTTTTTGGGTCGTCCCAAAAAGTTCTTCACACTTACTATTTTTGGACAATTTTTGTGATTCACATTCATTTCACCTTTTTTCTTACACAACCATAATCATACATTTCCACTTTCATAATCTCCTTGGCAAGTCAAAGTGGGAAGAATTTTATGGGACGGATGTAGTACTATATAATGTTTTTTTTGATTACATCTAGATGAAATTTGGGATTGAAATTGCGAGTTGAAAAAAATAATTCTTTTACTCCCTTTGTCCCGAAATGAAGTTTCCGGTTTGACATACACACTGATGGATTATAGGGTATCCAAACTATATAATAAATGTAGAGATTGAGCTATGAAGGTGGAGAAGATGAATGAATAGTAATGAATTGAGGCTTGGGTTTACAAGAGCTCCCTATGGGAGTATAAATAGAGAAACGATGGGCCGGGCCGCTAATATGGGTCTGATAGGCCCAATTACATAAAAGACTAATCTAGCACATACAAATGATATAAATGACATTTGATGAGCGTGAGTGGGCCGCTGTCCGGGCTCAATAGTCATGAGACCCGGGGGTCCGAGTCTATATACTCCATCAGGAGTCCCCCACTCCCTGAGTCAAGAGTACTCGAGGCGAAAGGGAGTAGATTTGCGTGTTGATCTATCGTCTGATGAGTAAACTTCGTGAAAAAATTTGAGACGCGAAATCCTCCGCTCTTCCAGTCCCCCACTCCTTGAGGTGAATGTAGTGAGGTGAAGAGGAGTAGCGTAGTGCATGTCTCGTGATGTCTTCAATAGGGGGGGCGAGGGTCGACACCTTTTGATCCACAATGGGGAGATGCCTCGTTAAAAACCTCATTAGGAAAAAACCCTGTGGGAAAAAATCCTAATGAGAGAAAAAGAGTACACCGGATGCCCCCAAAATGAAGCAAAAGCGGTGAGCCCTTCGACCTAGGTGTGGAGCTGCAACGATGTCCGTCTGCTGAGGGGATGGCCGAGACCAGTCTCTAGATGTGAGTAGCTCGGCATGATAAGTAGTCCTAGTCATCAAATAGAGATGACTAAGGGATGGGTCGAGCAACCGTCCGTAGTATGATGTCTGGTCCATCAAATAAAGATGACCAGAATATAAGGCCGATGGGACGATATGAGCTCCACGTCATCAAATAAAGACGACTGGGAGGCTAACGGCCGAGGGCCTATATGAGAGTTCCACGTCGTCGAATAAGGTCGACGGGGCGCTGTGTGGCTGAGGGGCCTGCATAAGAGCTCCACGTCATCAAATAAAGATGACTGGGAGGCTAATGGCCGAGAGGCCTATATGAGAGTTCCACGTCGTCGAATAAAGATGTTGGGTCGATATATGGCCGATGGGCCTATATAAGAACTTCACGCCATCAAATAACGATGGTGGGGTGGTGTACGACCGATAGGCCCAATTACATAAAAGACTAATCTAGCACATATAAATGATATAAATGACATTTGATAAGCGTCAGTGGGCCGCTGTCCGGGCCCAATAGTCATGAGACCCGGGGGTCCGAGTCTATATACTCCATCACACACACATTTATGTAGGATAAAATTGTATTGGAAAAATTGAAAAAATAATCCCAACTATTACTGGTCCGCTATTAATAATCTTAACTATCGATTATTCTTGAGTAGTGCCAACTATATGTACCATTTTCCAAATATAGTCCCTAAATGCTACAAACTGGTATAGCAGGTCAAATTTAAATGTGAACTATGCATAAGCTATATATAATCCCAACTATAGTTGATCTTCTTTTGATGATCCCAATTATCAACTCTCAATTTTAGAAAATTATAAAATATTTTTATAAATTTCCAAATTGAATATTTTTAAACATGTAAAAATTATTATGAAAATTCTTCAAAATATTTTTACATGTTTAAAAAATGGAGGTACATTTGTAGAATTTCATAATTATTTTTACATTTTTAAAAATTTTATTTTGGCAATTTATAAAAATATTTTAATATTTTTTTTAAAATCGAGAGTTGATAATTGAGATTAATAAAAGAAGATCGGCTATAGTTGGGATTATTTATAGTTTACGCATTGTTCGCATTTAAATTTGACCTGATATACCAGATTGTAGTAGGTTAGGGACTATTTTTGGAAAATGTTTTCTATAGTTGGGACCACCCGGGAATAATCGATAGTTGAAATTATTAACAGCGGGCCGGCAATAGTTGAGATTATTATTTTCAATTTTTAAAATTTTATTTTGACTTTCCAAGTATATCCTTATTGTATGTCAAATCACATAAAAAGTAGATTAGAGTAAAAAGCGGTTGCCGGTCGGGTTTCAGTACGTGTGGTGGGGCGTGCCACATGGACAGGTCGATAAAAGCGAGTTTCTTGATTTATATAAATATTTATTTTTATATATATTTATATATAAAGAAAAGGAAAAGAAAAAGGATAAAGGATTAAATTTCAAAGATTACTCGGGCCTATCGGCCAAGGCTATATGCTCGTTGAATACATCAGTGTAGCGCGCGTGCGACCCAGAACATCTAAGAGCATCACAGACCTGTTATTGCCTCAAACTTCTACGGCCTATAAGGTTGTAATCCCTCTAAGAAGCTGGCCACGAAGGGATACCTCCGCATAGCTAGTTAGTAGGTTGAGGTCTTATTCGTTAACGGAATTAGCCAGACATGCACCGGTAAAAGGGGTCAGTAATAAGTGCGATTTAGAATGCTACTACGTATAATTGTTTGACATTAGAGTTTAGGTGTTCTTAAATAATGGTACGTTTGTTCCTAAAATGTATTTTTTATTCTCCAAATAAGAGTGAGCGTTGCCATATTTGAAAAATAATGGCACTTATGATGGTATATTTAAAGTCTCATAACATTAACAATGACACTAAATTTTTGAGTATAACATCAATAAACTCCTATTTAGGGAAATAACATATACTCTTATTATAAAATTTTATATTGTTTTACTTCTATTCCGAAAGTTTTCCCTAAATAAAATTACAATTTGTTATTGTATAGTTATTGAAAGAAACATACCAGTCTCGTTTGGCGCAAATTATACCGTGGGATCGGTATACCATGCGCATGGTATACCGATCCCAATATGACACCGTTTCTCTAATTTAAAACAACTCAAATATTCTGCTCTTTTTTAGCCGGCTGCTATTCTTTCTTCTCCATCACAATATTTTTTTTCTCCGCTATCGTTCGACGCACTGCTTCCTCCCCCGGCTGCCAATTCTCCGCCACAACATTTTATATCTTATCTAGCTTCTTAAATACTTTTTTTATTAAAATTGATTTGTAACCATGATTCGTATGTTTATATCACAAAGTAAAAGGCTTCCACTTACTTTCTCTGCTTCCCCTTCGATCGATTTCTGTTATCATTCTTCCCGATTTGCTTTCTTCTTTTTCTTTTCTATTCTTATTCAATTGTATTAATCTCCTTTATTTATTAAAATATGAAAAACATGATCACAATTACTTTTTCCTATAATACATAGTATATGTTTTACACGTTGAAGATGACTGCTATACAGTGCATTTGATAATATACGAAGTTACATCATCTTTGTGCTCGAGTTATATGTTATTATGCGTGAGTTACATCTTATTATGCGTGAGTTACATCTTCTTATGCACGAGTTACATACTTTTATGTGTGAGTTACATCTAATTATTTGTGACATTTTACTTATCTTTAACTATATAAATTACAACTGAATTAAATTTTTTCTTTATCAATTTAATACAAAATTTTATTAGACCACATAAAAAGGTATATTACATTTCATAATCACAAAATAAAACCCTTTTATTGAATAAAAGAAAACTTTTTTAAAATCGAGTTTCTTTTGCAAAAAAAAATGATTTTTTGGGAAAAAACGATTTCTCTAAAAACAAATAAGAAATACTCCGTAAGAAATTAGACTCCTTTTTATTGTTTACGTTGAAATCATTGTTTTTGACAAGTTACATTTTGACTTGCCTGCAGTAACATTTCTTATTAACGTGAGATACATTTCTTTACACGCGAGTTACATCATTCATGCTACTGGGATAAAAAAATTACTGTTCACACGTCTACTGTTCACGCGTCTACTGTTCACGTGATTTTTTTTTTAAATTGATTAAAATTACGTCATTTTTTGCCTGGAGCATGGTGCTCACCGTGGGATGATCCCACGGTATATGCAGTGCTCCTTTGGTGTTGTTATCCAAGTTTGTTCCTACATAGATACTCTGTATGTCGCCTTACTTGTTTGGTCGAGTTTAGTCTAATTTAGTTTGGTTTTATTTAATGTTAGGAAAAAGAGGCAAATAAGCTCATCTACTAACTAAAAAAAAATCAAATAAGCCCTTATATAGGAGGCTATGTTCGGCCGTCGTCATTTGGGGCGGTTTCCGGTGGATTTTTTTAATGAATTTTTTTGAGAATCTTATTCATTAAGTCTAGTTTACTCATACCAAATTTAAGCTAAAACTTCAATCGGGAAGGCTTTCAAATGAATTCTTGAAGATAAAGCGCAGTTATCTTCAAGAATTTATTCGAATGCCTTCCCAATTGAATTGTTAGCTGAAATTTGGTATGAGTAAACTAGATTTAATGAATAAGATGCTCAAAAAAATTCATCAAAAAATTTCATCGAAAACTGCCCCAAATGGCGACGGCCGAACAGAGCCTCCGATATAAGGGCTTATTTGATCTTTTTTGTTAGTACGTAGGCTTATTTGCTCCTTTGTTGAGACTTGTTTAGTATTATTGAGTCTGGTGATTCTGGCCTAACTTGGTTAGTATGTTCTGCTTGGGTCTTGTTTGAGACTTGATTACTTAAATGAGCATATCATACTTAAATGAAAGATAAACATTCATATTTCAATAACCCAAATACGAATAATGTATCAAATATCAAATCAAATTTTCATCACCAAACAATAATGTCACCCTTACTTTAAAAGTTTAAGGCACGTCATCCTGGACATTTTATTGACATATTAATTGACCAAAAAAAACTTTTGTACACACTCTTATAAACACTTTTGTACACACATATGTTTGTGAATTTTTTTTTGTCTGTGAACATCGATTCACATACATTGTTTTGCACAAACAAAATATTGTCTGTGAACCAGATTCACAAACAAAAAAAGCTTCACAAACATGGTGTGTATAAGGTGTCTACAATGTTGTGTACATGAAGCAATTTTGTTAATTGACCGACCAAAAAATATCAGTAAAAATGTTATATTGGGCATCATAAAAGTGTCATCTTGATTATCAAATGAAACGAATGTATAGAGATGTGTCATCTCGACTGCAGCGAGATAGGAGCATATTAATCATTACATGGGAATAAAATATACACTCATATACGTATGTATGAATTGAACATACCTATATTATCGGTAGATTCTATGGTATCCATAAAGTATCATACATTTGTCCATATGAACCAATGAGAATGTAGCAGTTGAATTATTTAAATCTAAATTAAAAATGATAAAGTGGTGTGGTCCAATCAAATGAATGGTAGATACGGTACCCCATTTTTTAGAAAGGTACCGGAATTGTCACCATTTCTTTTTCCTATATTATCTAATCTCTATTTATTCATAGAACATTAGAACTACTTTTTCATATGTATGTATATATGTGGGTTGTAGCTATGACAGGTCAAAGATTCTTTGGCATGAATGCACAGTCAACGCACTATTTCTTACCGGAACTGCTTCCTGTCAATTACTTTGGTCAAGAAAACTACGAATTAGAGAGCAATGGTAATAAACCAATGAAGAAATCGGACGAGAAGCACATTTCTTTCTCCACCTTAGAACTGCCACAATCAGCAGGGCATTTATTTGCCAAGGACCTCCCTAATCTACATGGTAAGAAGATAAAAACAAAAGGAGATCAGATCACTTTCTTGTTCATCAGCTAACTCATGAAAACTTTTGTGACATTTCAATCAGCAGATTCTCTTCCGGGAATAAGCCATCATGTTTCCTTCCTCAGAAACTTGGCCAATAATCATTCAGGGACAAGCACTTTAAAGAGCTTGACAGGAGATGGGCTATTACCCGGAGTCATTGAAATGGAAGGAAGTTATTGTCATGCTTTTGATAATAGTCTGGGTATTTATTACGAAACTGAAACAGATGAAAGTTTCCAATCTACTGAAAGTGGGAAGACCATTGATTTGCAGCAGTTATCAACACATCTCCAGAGAGTTGAGCAGCAAAGAAAGCTCTGCTCAAGTGAAGCCGCTAGAGAAATGGAATTTCATGCCCTGGAAACTTAGGAAGGTTTTTGTACTTCTTGTCCCGTTTAAGGAAGGGGAGAGTGATAATGATGATGGATTGTGTTAAGAATGGTTTTTGTGTGATTTCCTCTCCTATACTCTTCAACCAAACAATATGATAATGTATGTTTGGACTTTGAATCCTGGAAAATACCTACAAAGAAATGAGAGAAGAATCTATAGTAAGGTATGTTTTTCAAGTCTTTTGAATAGAGAAAATTAACTAATGATGACCCAATGAGAGTGCCTTTGTGTGTTGAGTTTTACACAACATTATTCATCCACATATGTAATGTGCATCGTATATACATCAATATTCATGACGCAACTCAAGAGTAACATGTTAGTTGTCAAGTTAATCAAGACACCATATTTTCAATGATAACGAGTAACGAGCATGAAAGCATCTTTGAGGATATCAATGATGTTGAAGAGCATAATGATTTTATCAATGAAAGACTTTGATATCAATGATGTTGAAGAGCATGGTGATCCTATCATGTGATGATTTTCGGCTCTTAGCTTGAAAAACTTAAAATGAGTGCTTTCAAATGTCAGATTCTGCTTAATATAAACACTTAAAAGCTAGAAGCAGATGTGAGAGTGTTTTAAATTGTTTTCCAATTTTTATATTATATAAAAAAACATTTTTTTGCCAAACACCAGCAACTCTTACTTTTTCAAAAAACATTTGCTTCTCAAGTACTATCAAAATTTACTATTAAACACTTTCTCTGCAATAATTTTAAAAAAATCACTTTTTAATATAGAAGTTTAAGTGAGGATAATTTAAGCGGCGAAGGTAAATGTTGATGCAAGGGTAAAGGGTTAATTTAAGTAGGGATATTAGAGCTATGGCGATGAACTGAACGTAATGACCAAGGCGATTTCATCAAAGCGTATGGAGGGTTGAGGATGGCGCACTAGTCTCCGGCGGAGACCGAAGCCTGGGGCATTCGGGAGGCTATTCTGGGGGCAGCACATGAAGGGTGGACTGAGGTCGAGATTGAGCCAGATGCCCAATTGGTGATACAGGGTATCAAGAAGGGAATGAAATTTCGTATATTGGTTTGATCATTGATTATATTAGATATCTGCTTCAGACAAAGAGTAACTTTCGTATCTCCTTTCGTAAACAATATGCGAATCGTGTTGCCCAAGCTATAGCTCAAGAACACGTTTCCCTCCTCTCAGATCTTAATAGCAGTTATGATTTTAGTCCCGATTTTCTTGTAAGCCAAATGACTAACGATATGATTATTTAATAAAGTCAGGGGCTTTTGTTTCAAAAAAAAAGCAATTGAAACGCTTCTCAATCATGAAAGTGGGCTCTATAAAAACCGATGTAGCACGGATACTTCACTAGGGTGCGTATTGACGTATCGGAAACATTCTTGTATCAGCTAATCTAGGATACACGTATTATACGTTCCCGGGCCGTATATGCAATTTATTAAAAATTTCCAACTTTTTGTTGTAATTATTTTAAAATTTCGGATACTTATCCTGATGGATACACATATAAATTGTTTTTATAAGAAAACACCCAATAATTACATACTCCGTAATAAAAATCTTAAAAATGAAAAAATAAAAAAAAATTTACCTTGTTTTAATCTCGCACACAACTAAGTATATTATATCTACGACAAGTAAAATGTGAGATGTTGGTGGAGATAACTTTGGGAGAATGGAGGATATATGAGTACATGAGTTCACCAACCTTTCCATAGATGAACCTATGGTTGGACTCAATTCGGGCCACCCGGCCCGGGTCCGGGTCGGGCCTAGGCCCGGGGGTAGGGCGGGTCTAGGCTCGGGTCTCAAATTTGGTGAACCGGCCCGGCCGGGTCGGGCCCAGGCCCGGACCAAATTGAATTTTTTTTATTTTTTTTTTCATTTTTGGGGTTCCACCCGGGTTGGGCTTGATGGGTAGGATGGGTTTGGGGGAGTTTGGGAGGGGGGTTAAGAAAGCAAAAAAAAAATCCAAACCGGAGACCCGGACCCGGACCGGACCCGGTGGCTACCCGGGCCGGTCCCGGGTCCACCATTCCTGAACCGCCGGCCCGCCCGGGCCTAGGCCCGACCCGGACCCGAGTCCACCCCTAGATGAACCATAACTAGAGGTTGTCTTTTTGGAATACGATGTTATCCCTAGAAATTAGTAGTTCCAGTGGAAATATGTATTAGAATTTAGAACTTTTAGTTATATATAAAAATATTGTTTTCAAAAATATTATCCAAAAACTTTGAGTACTTTCGCTTTTAATTTCAAAATTCTGGTTTTTTGACTCATTTTAAATTATTGACGTATTGACTATATTTATATTTCGAGATACAATACTGTATATGAGAAAAAGTATGAATTTATTTTTAACTATTTTGATAATGTGAAATGCTTCAATGTCATGAATGAACATATGTCAGAGGATAATATATGTATATATTTTCAAAAAAAAATCTTATAATTTTTAATATTTATAATGCAACCCCATATTTTTTACTCCCTCTGTATCAGTTAAAGAGACATAGTAGCCTTTTGTAGTAGTTAAGAAAATTACAGTAAATAGGGTATTGTAGATACAGTAAATTACACTGTGGCAATTAAGAAAAAAAGCACTATAGCGAAGAGAGAGCGCGCTAGGTTGGGCTAAATGCCTGCAATCTTAAAAAAATGGCGGAATGAAGGTGCCACTTCAAAACTTTGGTGGGAAACAGCCCCTGGACAATTTAGGTTTCTATGAATAGAAACATTTGCATTCAATTTTGAAAGGTCAAGACTTAAATTAATCTTCATCATTTACGATGGGGTTGGACACCTCTCAAAAGAAGCTTCATCATTAATGAACATCCTAGACCTCAGACTATTTAGAGCAATTCACTCTTTAAAGGATAAATGCTCAACAAGAACTTTTTCAGAACTGGTTCAAAATTGCACAAATGCTTTCATGGCATACAACCCTCGTTCCTTAAGTCATGCATTCCTAAGCTTACATTTATGCATGATTGAAGTAATGAAGGTAAAGGGGGGCAACATATATGAACAGGTTGACATTGGGAAGCATGCATTACAAGGCAACATCTATTACCATTGACAATCAGCCCCCTAACCCTTGTGAGAGAGTGCATGACATTCATGGAGCAAGGTGCAGAACAAGGATGATATACACCAGATGATAAGAGAGTGCAACACATGGATTGCAACAGTGTAAGGTGCAAAAAGGAACAAAGACACTGGTGGTTTTGTTTTTTGGTATACATAGAACATGTAGGCCGGTAGTTTTTGCAAGACCATGTAAATACTCCAATATTTTTGCTATGGAGTTGATCCTTTTTTTTTGTATTAGTGACCTTTACAAAATAATTTGGATTAATGGACTGTAACTTCACCAAATGAACAGAGAGAATCACACAATAATTGGAACTCACAACACATCCAGTGAAATTAAAAATGAACACAAAGTGGAGTATGCAATTATGGGCCTGTTTGGTAACGGCTGCATCGGCTGCACTTGCTGAAACAGCTGAAATTTCTGAAGTGAAAGTGTTTGGTAATATTTTGACAGAAATGTCTGATTGGATGTATATTTACCAAAAAGGGTATTTGGTTTTTGTATTTTGACTATATGTGTGTAGCTTTGTAGTAAAATCCTTTGTATAAAGTTAATTGGAAGTAAATTAAACACAAAAGTATACATATATTAAAAAGCTACGCTTTTATTAGTTGTATTAACAAGCTACGTAAAGAGATTTATAGCAAAATATTGAATGGGACAAAGTGGTCAATTAACAAGTTAATGGTTATAAAATAGATTTCAGCCCAAAAAGTAAGCTTTGAGCTACTTTTTCGGTTGAAAATGAAAATCAGCTGAAACAGCCCATTTAAGGGGTGTTTGGTTAATTTTATGGATATTCAAGCTTTTCACCCTATTTTAGCTCTTCCAAACGGGCACTACATCCCTTACAGATTACACTAGCAACCGGAAGCACATGCACACAACCTTTACTTAATTGGAAGTGACCTCCTCTCCGTCTGAATTCGAGTCGCCAAACCCAGAGGACTCTTCCTCCACAAAACCTGACCCAAATAGTCTCTGCCTTGCCCAGCCTGGGTCTATTTCCGTTTGAAGTGGACCAGCCTGGACAGTCGGTGCTATAGGAGTCCTTGTCGAAGTTAGCAATAAATCTGGTCACCTGATTCGCAGGGCAAATGGCAGCCTTCTGGAAATTCTCATCATCCTTAAACAGATGAACATCCAACACTTCAAGGAGTGCCAACTCTGATTCAGATTCATAGGGGTCCATGCAAATTGAATGGGATGAGCCAAGGGGGTAGACTTAGCATGCTAGACGGAGATGAAAGGAGATGATGCTTCATGGTTCAGACCAGAGAGACGGAGATGAAAGGAGACGGTGGTATGAGAGACATGAGTGAAGATTCGAGAGATGAGTAATTGAGAGAAAAAGGTTATGCGAAATGGGTATTGAGAATGATCGAGACAGACAGATTAAATGTGAAGGCGGTGATGCGGTTGAGGTGGGTGGAAGATTAATGGGTTGGGTAGGAGTTAATGGGGGTGGGAGAGAGAATAAAAGTGGTGGGATCTACTGCTGCATGACTTTTTTTGGGTATTGCCGAAAAGGGAAAGGGGACGGTTATTGGAGAGACTAATATTTATAAATACATTCTCATAAGTTTTAATATTTATAAATACACTCCTATATCTGTATCATACTTTTTTTTGGTTTGTCGTATGACTCGTATCGGCGTGCTCATTTTCGCGTTTCCACGTTTCCGCATACACGTATGGTGTTGTATAGATGAAAATGTTTGAAACTTTAAGTTGAAAATTCTGGTAATTTACGGGACCCACGGTGGGCAATTTTTATAGTAGGATCGGCACACCATCTGCATGGTGTACCACGTGATCCTAATACGGCACCGTTTCTGTAATTAAAAGCAGCGTACTCAAATATTTTTTCTCCTTTGACCAGCTCATATTCTTCTCCTATCCATCATATTCTTCTCCCATCCATTCCTGCCTTTTTTTTCTCCTTCCCACGCAAGGCTTCCTCCCCCATTTTTTGCACATGCCCATGCTTCCACTAACTTTTCCTTCCCTGCTTCCCCTTCCCTTTCTCTTGTCATGCGTTCTAATCTAATCCTCTTTCTTCTTCTTTTTTTTTTTACTTCTTTTCTTTTTCAATTTTCTTCATACCCATTGTTAAAATATTAAAAATATGATTACAATTACTTTTTTATATAATATATTTCTGTAAAACAACTTCTTATCTCTTTGTATGTTTTAGTGTTTTTTAGACATTGAGTTTGTTTATTTCTATATATTTACATATGATAAAACATGTGATTACATTTTCGTATGCGTGAGTTACATTTATACATGATTCCCGAAATTATATATGATACTACATGGAGATACATCTTCTCATGCACGAATTACATATTTTTATGCGTGAGTTACATCTAATTATGCGTGAATTACATCTTCTGAAACGTGAGTTACATTTGGACTTGCCTCAACAATTTACATTTTGTATAACCTAAATTACATTTGTCATCAATGCGAGTTACATTTGTAATAACATGAGTTACATAAAAAAATCAACCCCGACTATTGAAAAAAAATGATTTTTTTTTTAAATCCCTTTGATGGTCATGATATTAAAAACAAAATATATTCACGATTTACGTAAAGTAACTGTGCAATTAGACTCTCTTTTTCATTATCTACATTGAAATCAATATTTTATTTCGTATACTATGTATTTGACAAGTTATATTTTGACTGCACTTGAATTACATTAATCTTGGTCCAAAAGGTGGAATCTCCCACCCCAGGAGCCCCCCATACCCCGACCCGACAGGATTTTTGGGAGGATGTTAATCACGGTGATTCAGTCGGTCCAATGATGGTAGACCTTTTTCCCGTGCGCACCAGAGACCTAGTCTTATTTCAGGTTCTGTGACTTCCACACGGCTGCTGCGGGGTTCGAACTTTGGTCACTTGGTCCAAATTTCCTACCAGTGAACCAACTGAGCTACCCGTGCGGGTTTGAATTACATTAATCAATAATATGTTCACGTGTGAAATTTTTTAAAAAACTTGTGTAAAACTACATAGTTTGAGTCTGGAGCATGGTATGGGTGCTCACGGTAAGATATCCCACTAAAAAAAGTTGACCATATTGACACACTCGCTCCACTCAGGTACGGACTACGGAGTAGGAAGAGACTAGTCAACTAGACCACTAGAGTAGAAGTACTCTTTTTAAAATTAAGTGACATGAAAAACAAATTGGAGGGAAGTATCCTGACGCTAAAATTGATTCCCGCTATTTGAAGTCTCCAGATTCGCTGGCCGACTCATTCTCTCATTCTCTAGAGTCCAGAACGGAATCAACGGATACAATTACACGAAGATAGTGAAACAGGAGGGACATGATAACTCCTGAAGCTGCTATGGAAGAGAAATCTGACGGCCTGGAGATCGTCTCAGTCGGCAAGCTTTACAGCGGTCCTTGGGAAAAGAAGTACTGGAGCTCCTCTAGGGTTCGTTTTTCATTTCCCTTCTATGATTGACACACTCGCTCCACTTAGGTTCTAGCTGCTTTGGTTTTGCTCTTCTTCTTATGATTAGTTTTTTCATCTTTTAAATTTTGTTTTAAAATTCGAAGTGCAATTGGAGTTCGAAGTCTCCTAGCTCTAGCCATATTGAACTTACAGTAGAAGATAATTGTCTTGTATATTCAAGCACTTTGGATACAAATTACTTGTGACACATTTTCATGTAGTATGAGTGTAATAAATTTAATTGAACATCAGGCGTAGGTATAAGGCAGCCTCTGACACGTAGAAGCTCCTCCATTAGAATCACAAAATATCTAGGCAATTCACTTTTTCAGAAGGAATATTAGAAGTATACTGTAATTTAAATATTTGCCGCATTTGCATATGATCGATCTCCCTCACCAATAATATGTTGAAACCTTTTTTCTTTTAATTTCATCCATATGACTAACTACTTTTAGGTTGCGCCATTTTACTTGCATTGTGCATGTACTCGTTCCTTCTAAGTTAGTTAATCTAATTTTTGATGATTTTTTTTGCTCAATCAGCACTAATTCAACAGATTTTCAATTTGTGCATAAGTATGATAGTCAAATGATTGTGTGATGGGTACATTGTAACTGTGAGTAATGTATAGAAAGTGGCAGTGGGACAGTGGATTGAATTCGAATATTCATGATTCCAATGGAAGATGAGTTTATTATAGAAATTTAGAATTGATTTTTTCATTCTGTCAATCCTTCCGTTTCTTAATGGATATCACTCTCATTATTGATTTAATCAACTTAACTCTTATTTCATGGATAACTTTATAAATCGATCCTATATCATATTGACAATCTGTTTTGCAATTCAATAGAACTTTTTAGTGTAGTTTTAAATGTTTAAGTTTTCGTTACTAATTCTAAATTAAGCAATGTTAAAAACTAAAATGAAAATATTTTCAGTCAAACCTTGAAATCCTATATGACATCCTTTATTCTTTTTGCGAAGGGAGTAAGTCTTTTGGTAAATGAGCAAGCTGCTAGCTTTTTGGCAATGTCAGGCTATGTGTGGTATTGTTCAAGGAAAGACAAGATGTCTCAATTATGAATAGAGCGACATGAGTGGGAAAAGGACTAGCCTCCCATCAGTGAACTGAGTTTAGGACTTTAGGCATTAGTTTATTTACACTATATTACATTGGCATCATGCATAGTTGTCATGGCGCATGGCAACATCAATGGCGCACAGGTATTTTCCATGGCGATGGAGATGGCACAAATATGGCGTCGCCACGTGACAAAAAAAACTAAGAAAAATAATTATAGACACTATAATCGTATCACCCAACCACCAAAACATGATAAAACAAGTTGAATAACAAACATTCTAACCAAAACATGTGAAGTTAAAATAGTTTAAAGTAGTTCCAGAAAACATAATATTCAAAAAAGTTTCATGTCTTTCAAAATATGTTAGCTTGTTTTTGTTTGATGATTATTCCATAATCATCATCAATTATCACACTCATCAACATCTTGATCTGAATCTGATAGAATGGAACACCATCCTCATTCATTTTATTCTCATAAGAATCTTCAACCTCGTCCGTCTCCTCCATCTCCTCTTCGTCGAATCGTCGTGCAGCTGAAGTGCTGATGCTCTTGTTGTTGTTGCTTTTGTGTTGTGAGTTGCTTCATTAACACCAACGACGTCTTCCACTACATATCAGTTTTCCCATTTCATTTTGCTCAGCAGCCTCATCAATCCATTCATTTGCAGCTTTACCTTCACGTGTTATTACTTTGTATCTTTATTTACTTTTGGTTAGGGTTGTTGTTAGTATAATGGCCTAAAATATAAAAAAAATATCAGTTTTATTAATGTTATGGCCTCACAGATTATGAAGTATTTATCAGGCCCAACAGACCAAAAACCACAAAGTAAATAGGTTCTGTTTTGTTAAATAAGATGGAGCAGCGCCATGGTGATGGTGCCCAAATGGCTTCGCCACTTGTATAGTTAACACCACTACCACTTTTCATGGTGCAGGAGAGATTTGCGCCACATGGCGCATGGCACACGTGCCATTCTGCACCATCAACAACCATGCATCATGAGACATTTATGATGATTTGTCATGTTCATCATATATTCTACTGAACAGTCAAACTGTTCTTACTAAAGATTTTATTATAAACCTTAAACCTCATGCTTACTGTTTCTTAAAATGGTTTGAAGTCCTGACTTATCTGGTGGATCAGTTCACACTGTTAAACACCTTCCAGTGTCGTTTTTATGGTGAAATGTGTTCCCAGGATAGTAGGAGTTTTTCCATGAACAATTGTTTTGCTGGACTTAAGGGTACCCACTGCAATTTTCAACGCGATTTTCACTATGGGTCATCCGGAAACAGTATCTCTCTGCTTTAGTACAGGGGTAAGACCACGTACATCCGACCCCCCTTACCCCACCGTAGGTGGGAGCCTTTGCGGCACTGGGGTAATGATGATGACTTAAGGGTACCCACTGCCACGTGGATTTAGAAGTAGGATTGAAGGTATCCAATTTAAAGTCCCAAAGATGAAGCTTAAGTTTGCTTCCATCCAGTCTATTGTGTGTTTATTTTGAATGAAAGGGCCATAACTTTTATCACAAAGGCATGACTCATGAGTCACATGCTTACATCCATATCCTTTTCATATGCTACACAACTTCGATTTATCCTTAAATTCATGCTTGTTGTGTTTTCCCTTTCAGGGAAAAGACCGCTATCCTTATCCCATCGGATATAAAGGTTTACGCAATCAAAATGGAGTAACATATGAATTGGAAATCCTTGAAGGGCTTAAAGGGCCACTCTTTCTGGTGTGTTGTAATGACCCAACTTCTGTCTGCTTCAAACCTAAGCACGGAATAAGTTGTTCATACACTATTTTTATTGATGTTACATAGAGGCCTCTTTCTCTATCTGCAGATTACTGCTGCTGATGGCCAATCAAATAGTGGGCGAACTCCTGATATTGCATGGGAGTGCTTTCAGAAGAAAGGATGTCCACGGATCAAGTCATTGCCTGGGAAGAGATTCTCATGTAAAATAGATGGTGTTGAAGTAAGTGCATAATGCAGATACTTCATGTGAATGTTTATAGCTTAACCCTTGTTCCCCTTTATGATGATGATTTCATAAGGAATTTTTGAGGGAACTCTATATTAAAGTACTGATTAGTTCTTCTCCCTGCTTTTTCTTTTCAGTTTTTTGGCTTCAAAAATGCATCTGTCCAGAGGTTACTCAGGGAACTGGTCGCAGATGTCAGTGAAACTGCTGAAAAGCTTCAGCCAGCTTCCAACTACCCTAGCAGGGTGGCTTTGGAAACTAATCATCCAAGCCAATGCATTAAAACAGATGTAGATCCTGATTTGCCTCTACACATGAAAAAAACAGAAATAACAGGAAAGAGAAGTAGGACAGAAAAGATAAAGACCATCAACTCAAACAGTAGTACTGGCCTGAAGAAGGATAGACACCGGAAGAAACAATGCACCGCTGATGCTTCACATTCTATTGGCAGGATCCATGAATCGATAAAAAGTCCAAAAGTGCTGCCTGGATCTGTGAGATTGGAATGTGTGGTGCAAAAAGAACAAAACCAAGGTCTAGAAGAGGATAGTTCACAATTGGCATCTATGATTACAAATGATCATCATAACGAGCATTATTTCCTTCCACAAGATGAAAACAAATGTTCTAGTAATGAAACTCAACCATCCTTGGAAGAAGTGCGTGCTTTGCATAAAGATGGAAAGCCTGTAAGTCAGTTCTTATGCTCGTTTTATGTTTCTCAATAAACATTGTGGTTCCCCTTTCTCATTTAGTATTCCTTGTATTTCTCCGGTATGCCCACCCATCTGTCTAAAATTGAGCACTAGCTCTAATTGATCATTAGTTATGTTTTTGTCTCATTTGATCTTGGCTAATCTAATCCTGGATTACTGAGCAGTGAGCACCAATAATTTTTGTTAGGCACATGTTCTTAATTTCTTACAGTTTGATAGGTCTGACGTTTTCAAAGGTGAGGTGCATGCTAATCCTTCCATAAAGCAAACGATTGAAGAAATGCTGGACACAAATGATTTGCACCTAATTAATGATGCAAAACTTAATGCACTTAATACCTTGGATCACCTGATAGGTATGAGGTATCACTAATATAAATTATTATTAATATTTTTTATTGTAAACAAGTGCTGTTTTATCCTTTTTGTTTTATATAAATATTCTTTTTATCCTTTTTTATTCCATCATTTGCAATGGAGCCAAAGATTCATTATTTTTTGGCTTGAGATTATGATGGAATAAAGCAAAATGGCTCACTAAACTGTCTGCTCTTCTTTGTTATGAAGCCGCAGTCAGTCCATGCAATTTTGGACGGGATTTTCACTATGGGTCATCCGGAAACAGTCTCTCTGTGCTTTAGTAAATGAAAATGAATGAAAAAATCTTTTTATCCTTTTTATCTTATCGTTTTATCTTTATCTTATCCCTTTTATCTTACTTTATGATTTTATCTTTCTTTTCTTTTTGGCTGCGATATCAAGTATCGATTCATGTTAGCCAACCTCAAAATCTTTTGGGACTAAGGCTTAGATGTCCATTTTTTCTTCATGCTGGTTTATGTAGTATTTTCAACTTAACTCGCAAATGACAGTGATTACTTCTTGCAGATGACTCTTCTAATCGTGCTTCAACCAATAGGGATGATGATATAACTGCTCATGACACAACTCTTTCTGATGTTTTAAGGACTAATTCACATATTGAAGAAGAAATAGGAATACCTTGTTCAAATTCAAGCTCAGTAAAGACTGAGTGTAAGCGATATCATCAGGAAGTAGCCAAGCCAATGAGGACAGATTTGCCTCCTGGAGCACTTCCTTCATTTAAGACATTCTCAAGGAAGAAGAAAAATGCAGAGCCCACAGGAAAATCTCCTTACATGTTTCAGGAAGAAACTAAGAGTGACCTTGATAGTATTACATCTGGTATGTGGATCTCTAGTTTAACGTTCAGTAATTACTAATCTTACTCTCTAGCAGGAATTACAAAGAGTGACCTTGATAGTGTTACATTGTTGTATCCATTTGGAATTAATAATAATAGATTACCTTTTTTGCAACATCTCAAAGTCAGCAAGCTTTCTGAGAACTTAAATTTGGAAATGAAGAAGGAAGACATTAAATTTGCTCAAAGAGATCAAGTTGCAGTTTTACCATGTGGTGGACATGTAGATTCCATTGTTCCTGATAGTTTGGATGATTATGAGGATGTGTATGTTCCAGATACTGAACTACCTGAATCATGTGAAATTGTCAAAAATGATGAAAGTTCTCCAGATCTTGATACCAGACTGTGTGGAACACCAAAGCTACCCGATGTTGTTGACTCAGAAGAAGGTTCACGAGATTGCAATGATTTCCAGATAGATTTATGTGACAATGCCCATGGTGAGTTTAATACAACATCAAACAACATCCAAGCCTTAGTCCCAAAAGATATTGGGGTCGGCTAACATGAATCGATACATGATATCACCACCAAAAGGAAAAGAAAGGAAATAAAGATAAAAAAGATAAGCTATTATTTTTTGATGAAATTTTGATGAAATTTTTATGGTATGTTCTTCATCAAGTCTAGTTTATCCATACCAAATTTCAGCTCAAAATTCGATCCGGAAGGCCTTCAAATTATTTTTTGAAGTTGACTGCACCAAATTATACATAGAAAAACGCAGGCAACTTCAAAAAATCATCTGAAGGCTTTCCCAATCGAATTTTGAGCTGAAATTTGGTATGGATAAACTAGACTTGATGAAGAACATACCATAAAAAATTCATCAAAAAATTCCACCGGGAACCGCCCCGAACGGCGTTGCTCGGACGGTGCTTGGACGGGGAATGTTCGGACCTGAACATTCCTCTATATATATATTAGAAATATACCTGTCCGGCCAGGCCGGATATGAGGGTGATCCGGCCACCTCAATTTGAGGTGGTTCGCGGTGGTATTTTTTGGTGATTTTTTTTTGTATGTTCTTCATCAACTCTAGTTCATCCATACCAAATTTGAGCAAAAAATTCAATCGGGAAGGTCGTCAAATGATTTTTGAAAGATAACTGCGTTTTATATGTATATTCCGGTGCAATTATCTTTCAAAAATCATTTGACGGCCTTCACGATTGAATTTTTTGCTCAAATTTGATATGGATGAACTAGACTTGATGAAGAACATACACAAAAAATTTCAGCCAAAAATACCACCGGGAATTGCCCCAAACGGCGGAGGCCGGACGGGGCTCCTGTCCGAACCGACCGGACCTGAAAAGCCCTCTCTCTCAATATATGTATACACACACACACACACACACTACCTCTGTCCCTAAATAAACAGTGTTGTCAATCCTGAAAACGCTGTAATGGTATTGCGGATAGCTGGAGACCGCCATTCAGACAATATATATGCATCATACATAATAATATGTGCGCACATATCAAATCCATGAAATGATTAATATTTCCTCCATTTTTTTTAGTTTCAACATTTTTATTTTCAAAACGCACAAGTTTGACCATTAATATACATTCTTCATCATTTCATTTTCATTTACCCCAGTGCCGCAAAGGCTCCCACCTGCGGTGGGGTAAGGGGGGTCGGATGTACGCAATCTTACCCCTGTACTAAAGCACAGAGAGACTGTTTCCGGATGACCCATAGAGAAAATCGCGTCCAAAATTGCATGGACTGACTACTGCTTCATAACAAAGAAGCGCAGACAGTTTAGTGAGCCATTTTGCTTTATTCCATCATAATCTCAAGCCAAAAAATAATGAATCTTTGGCTCCCTTGCAAATGATGGAAAAATATATACATTATTTAATAGTAAAAAATTTTAAAAAAACATATTTTAAAAATTTAAAATGAGATAAATTTAACAATATTTTTCAAAAATTAAGTTTATAATTCGTTAATAAATAAAATGTAGCCAAAGTTGAGCATGTGAATAGTGTAAAATTTCACCATGTTGTGACTTAAAAAGAATAGAGGTAGTATATTACTTAGTCTTAAACCTCAAGAAATTTACACTTACAAGATTACGAATAAAAAGCCATTAGTATCTTAAACAAAGCAAATGAGTAGTAATTGTAACTTACCTCTAAGCATTAAAAATACAACTTAAACACCTATACAATTCTTGATTAATTAGTAGTCATCAATATTTCTTGATTAGAAATCAAGGTTATTGGGATTCCTTGAACTCCTTTAACACGGAGATGTACCTGGGTCCCAATGCTCAGACAGCGCACCGGGGTCCGGGGGAGCGCTATGGTTGGGGTTGGGCTCAGGAGCAGCACCCCTGACTCTTACACTGTAGGTTATGTTTTGATTATGTTTTCTTATGAGCTATTTTAGTAGGGTTACATTTTGAAGTGTTTTGGATGGTGTAGTAGGTTTAGTTTTACTCTAAACATCTACAGGTCAAAGTTACTAACTAGTTTTTATTCCTTAATTAATGGTGTGGTACATGTATGATACTTATTTTGATGCTATGTTTTCTCCCTTTAATTTAATCATTACTCATATAAAGGCATACTTAGTACAGGGTAAGGCTGCCTACATCCGATCCCCCTCTTACCCCACGGTATGTGGGAGCCTTTACGACATTGGGGTAATGTTATTGTTGTTGTTGTTGAATAACGGCATACTTAAGTTTGTTAGTCATATATTAGGAATCCGTGAATGTTAGTCATATATAGATAAATTTCTATAAATTATAGCCGTGCTATAGCGTCCACTACAGCTACGATTCCCCCCCTGTATAGTTCATTAGTGCCCGCTACTGGCGCTATTGCCAACCGTTCCGTAATGGGCGATCTGATAGTGCCTAGCCCCTGCTCTGCTCCACCAAATTTGACAGGCATTGAGTTCAAGAAAAAATGTGCTGTTGAAATTTGTTTAGAGATGAGGGAAAGATATGAACCCCATGATGCTTTCCTTGGGATCGTTTTGGGTGGATCCAAAAGAAAAGTGTGGATATCTTAGTCTCAGAGGGAGTATATAAAATTGTGAGTGCCCCTGTGTCTATATACGTACATACATGTATGTATGTGTGTGTATTGGGAGTTAAACTGTTAAAGAGTGAAATAGCGGTATCAATAGTGTAGAAAAAGTCTACAAAGTAAAGGGAACGATGAAAAATTATGAAAGAGAAAATGAAATAGCGGTATTAATGTACTTCTAGATGAAAAACCTACCGAAATAGGAAGCGTTGCACGTAATAAAGTATTTCCGGAAATGGAATCTGTTGCAAGTAATAATTACAGAGGGAGTTTAATGTTGGTGAACAGATTTAACTGAGCTCATGGAGAACAGATACTGGAATACTAGATTGAATTAATGCTATGTGGAATTTGGCCCAGTAGTTGACATCTGTCTAATTGAATCAAAATGGGTCTATGTACTTGCTTCAGTTGCTTGCTGAATATTTCATAGAAAAATATTGCAATTTTTTGAGTTTTAACTTGTGACAGACTTACGGATAAGTGATACCAGCATGGCATGCAAAACAACTTTGGAAACAGTTAGTAACACCATAGATGGATGTGGGGTTGTTGCTATTGAAGTCCTCACTATTGTTGAACCCATGCGAGAAAATGTTCCTCTCTCCGAAAGTATCATATGCAGGGAATTCAGAGATGACTCTGATGGAGAGGCTTGTGCCAAAGTAAGCCCTTCAAGCGCTGTGCGCCCATCAAAATGGCATGACCATGTCCGGAGCCAAGTGGAAAGAGAATTATCTGGTAATGAACAAAAAGTTGGTCGCTCACCTCTATTTGCCCATGTTGAGGATAGAGCAACAAGTGTTGATGGTGTGCTTCATGATGTGACTACTCTGCTTCAACGTGAAGAAAATAATAGGATATTGGATGGTGATTATAATTCAGACGCTCATCCAACTAATTCACGCCAAGATGACCAAAATCTTGATGAAGTTGGTGAACACACTGATGATCAAAATTATGTTAGTTCTTCATTGTCATACATGCAAAATTACAGGATGGATACTTATGGTTGCTTGAGCGGAAAGAAAATTGAAAGTGATGATTCAAACATCACTAGTACGGGTATAAATGATACTAATAACAAGCTAAAAGGATCTTTAAAACTTGTTTCTTGCTACGTTCATCCTGTGCCAGTTTCAATGGTTCTGGTAGCTGCCACTGAAGAAGTAATTCATATATGTGTTTTATGTGGCCCCTATTTGCAAAAGGAAAGGAAGCTGTTTATATATAAGGCACCCCTGATGGGAGAAGACGAGGGGCACCCTTCTTTTGTTGGCTATGCATCATTAGGTTTACCATTTGGAAGAGACGTAAGACATTTCTGCTTTCTATTTTCCATCAGAAGTAACTTTTACTTTTTCTGATCAACGTTCTTTTCTGTAGATCGAACTAGACAGTTCTGCTATGCAGTTTTCTCCTGATGGGCATTTCCTCCTGTTGTTGAATAGTATTAAAGTTCCATGTTGCAGGTTGAATATCTTCTAATATAGGCATGCACTTGAATTCTGCTTGGGTACTTTGACCACTAACCTTCTACTAATGTCCCCAGGGAGGGTAATGTATATTGTCCCTGCTCAGCATGTGGATCTGATCTCCAGGACAACGCAGTAAAAATTATGCAAATTAAAGCAGGTTATGCATCTGTCATAGCTAGATTACAGTCGACGGGAAGAATTTGCTGCATTTTAGTCTGTAGACCTCATCACCTCATTGCTGCTGATGACAGTGGGAAGCTGTACATTTGGACAATGAACTCAACATGGAGGTGATGGTTTCTGAACGTTTCCCTCCAAATTGAGTTTAAAGGATAATAGTAAGATGGTTACTTTGGCTTCCAGCCTTCCAAGTTCCATCATAGTAGGTAGTACTTAAATCACAGGAAGTAATATGCGACATTTTTTATTTTCTAGTATGGTGTCATTCTATTCATACTTTTTTGTTCAAAATTTTCAAAATATATATATTGATGCTTCTGCATTCACTATTTTTTAAAAAAAAATTGGATAAGGTTGAGGATATGTGAAATTCGTCTTAGTAATAAGTTGAGTTATTAAAACAGAAAAGTATAAAGTAATCATCTAGGGGTTCAGCTTGATGTAATAAAGAAACTTATGCCTTCCATGAAAAAGTAATTTTAACATGTGCCATGATTCGACATGAATTTTTTTGGGATGAACCTGTAAATATATATATCATCCGAAAAATAACATGTACACATGCGTCCAAAACTAAAAGGCAACCTACCAACAAGGTTGGTCACCATTTAATCAAGCAAGACACACACCCAATAACGGGTCGGTCCAAAAACAACCAAGGAAAAAACAAGCCATCAGAGGGATGATTCTAATAGAGAGAAGAGAACAAATGTTTTGAATATATTTCTGTGTGTTAATACTGGTTTACAAGACTGCTATTTATACATCTCCTAATCATGTATATAATAATACTATAGTAAATGCCAAAGATATGTAACGGCTAACTACAATATTGTGTTCTAAATACAAATTATTTCTTTCCTTCAATATGCCCCCGCAAGCCAGGTATTCTGTCACTGCCAAGAATCCTGAGCTTGTTTCTAAGAAGAATGAAGCGTTGCCGGGGGAGCGATTTGGTGAGGGCATCAGCTATCTGATCAGAGGATGGGATGTGATGAACTTGAAGAAGTCCACGTTGAACCCGCTGCCGAACAAAATGAAAGTCAATTGCCACATGTTTCATGCGAGCGTGGAAGACAGGATTTGCTGAAGACGTAGTGGCACCTTTGTTATCACAAAGGAGGAGTGGAGGAGAAGGGAGCGGGTGCCGCAACTCACGCAACAGAGATTCAATCCAAATAATTTCAGAGGCAGCGGTGGAAAGAGATCGATATTCAGCTTCCGTGGAAGACTTATCAATGGTACGTTGCTTAACTGATTTCCAAGATATAAGAGATTCCCCGAGAAAAATGGCATATGCGCTAGTAGAAGAACGGTCATCAGGGTTCCCTGCCCAGTCAGCATCAGCAAAGGCACGAAGAGAGGGGGATGTGCTAGGACAGAGAAACAGGCCATGAGAAGCAGTTCCCTGTAGATAGCGCAAAAGACGTTTGAGAAGTTGCCAATGATTGACCGTAGGTTTATGCATGAATTGAGCTAGTTTGTTAATAACAAAGGCAGCATCTGGACGGGTAAGATTCAAATATTGAAGTGACCCGAGGACCTGGCGATTGAGAGTGGCATCACATGAACCTGAACTGTCAAACAGGGTTAATGAAGCAGAGGGAGCTAACGGTGTAGCTACCGAATTGGCCGCATCCATTTTTAACATTTTTAATAAGTCCATAATGTATTTATGTTGATCAAGGAAGAGTCCGCCCTGTGTAGGAGTAACCTGCATGCCCAAGAAATAGTGTAGGGAGCCAAGATCCTTGATAGAGAATCGGTGGGCCAATGAGTCAATAGTCTGACGTATCAAGTCGGGTGTAGAGCCAGTAACAATAATATCATCCACATAGACCAAAACATAGATGTAAGATGGATGGGAGGAAAAAATGAACTGACTGGCATCAACAACCGATAGAGAAAACCCAAGTGACAGAAGAAAGCCACTAAGAGATTGATACCACACACGAGGTGCCTGTTTAAGGCCATAAATAGATTTCCGAAGACGACAAACAAACCCAGAACCATCATTAAAGCCCGGAGGTTGCCTTATGTAAACTTCCTCCTGAAGAGTCCCATGTAGGAATGCATTATTGACATCTAACTGATGTACTGGCCAACCATGAGAAAGAGCAATAGTCAGAACAATACGAATGGAAACCGGTTTGATGACCGAACTAAAGGTGTCGGAATAATCAATCCCGGGGCGCTGATGGAAGCCCTTAGCCACTAGCCGAGCCTTATAGCTATCCAAGGAGCCATCCGGTTTATACTTCACTGTATATACCCATTTACAACCCACAATATTCTGACCAGGCTGAGCCGGAACAAGATCCCAAGTGCCCTGTCGAACCAAGGCATCAAATTCTACTGTCATAGCACTCCGCCATTGTGGTACCTGCATAGCTTGAGAAGCATAAGTGGGAATTATATGGTGAGGTAAAGGATCAACAGTGGCAACATTGGCTTGTTTATGGGGTCGAAGGGTCATCGGATGGGTACGTTTGGGCGGTGGAGTATCGAGGGGTGGATTTGAGGTAATGAGATCAGTGGCGGGTAAACGAGGGGGGGGGGGGATAGGAGGATTGGGTTTGGGTCGGCGTTGGTAAGTAATAATTTGTGGTGGTGTGGGTTTAGGGAGGGGAGAAAGCGGGATATCAGTTTGAGTAGAGGTAGTGGGTGACGTGTCAAGAGTCAATTGTTGAGCCGAGGTATGAGTAAGAGGAAACGCCCCCGCAGCCAGAGTACATGAAATGGGAAAATAAGACATAGAAGGCTGAAGCCAGTGATCAACTTCAGAAGTGATATTTGAGACGGGTGGTGAGGGTGTAGAAAAAGGGAAGACTGACTCATCAAACACAACATGTCTGCAGACAAAGATACGGTTGGTGGTAAGATCAAGACAACGATAGGCACTTTGTTGGTCACAATATCCCAGGAAGACACATGGTTTGGAGCGTGGTTCTAATTTATGAGTGGTATAGGGACGTAACCACGGAAAACATTGGCACCCAAAAACAGCAAGTTTAGTGTAATTAGGAGGTTGTTGGAAGAGTTTTTCATATGGAGTGCAGAAGTTAAGAGAGAGAGCAGGTTGTCTATTAATGAGATAAACTGCGGTAAGAAAAGCATAAGACCAATATTTAAGAGGCATAGATGCATGGTGAAGTAGGGTGATACCAGTTTCCACAATGTGACGATGCCGACGTTCAGCAAAGCCATTGTGCTCTGGAGTGTAGGGAGGTGTAAATAAATGAGAAATCCCACATGTGCTTAAGAATTTCCCTAAGGTTATGTATTCGCCTCCCCCATCAGAATAAGATCGCGATCGCAAGTCCGAGTTCACACGCGACGATCTTACAGCCCTGCGACTTCAGGAGGTAATCCAGACCACTCTTACATTCAAAATCACAGAAGGACCGAGGATATTCATAGATTTCCAGTATACACAGGCAGAAAAATTGATTTACCGGTTTTTAATGGGGAAGGTGCGTATAACTGGATGGTGAGGATGGAGAGATACTTTCGATTGAATCATATTAATGAAGAAGAACAGGTGGAAGCTGCATTAGTTGCGATGGAAGGTAGGGCTGTGAACTGGTTCATTTGGTGGGAACATCAGACAGAGAAAAAATTGGGAGAATCTGAAGGCTTCTATTATTCGGAGGTTTCAGTCAGATTTGATTCAGAATCCTTATGGACCCATGCTTAGCTTGAAGCAAACTGGAACTGTTAAGGAGTTTAGAGATGAGTTTGAAATGGTGATAGCTCCTCAAATCAATGTGGATATGGAGATCCTCAAAGGAATTTTCCTTAATGGTTTGAAGGAGGAGATAAAAGCTGAACTTAAACTACATAATTCCACAACCTTGAGTGAAATTATGGACAGAGCCCTACTAATTGAGAGTAGGAATGAAGCTATATATCAGAAGAGAAAGGAGGAAGACCGGGTACTTGGGAAAGAGAAGGGGACTGCAGCAGTGAAATCACAAGTCTGGACTGAGGGGTACAAGTCCAAATTTGGCAATACTGGACCTCATAGTACTGAGAAGAATGGGGCAGACAGTAAGAATAACCAGCCTTGGTTCAATTCAAGGGGGACCAGAGTTACAGAGATTCATCCCTCAGGAATCAGAAGGGTGGGTCCTCAGTTGTCTCAGGATGAGTATCAGGAAAGGAGCAGAAAAGGCCTGTGTTTCAAGTGTGGAGAGAAGTGGAACAAAGAACACACTTGTAAACTAAAAAACTACAAATTAATACTGGTAGAAGACTCAGATAAAGAGGAAGAAGAAGAAGGAATTGGGGTTGAAATTTCAGAAGAAGAAGAGCAGGTTATGGAATCTAAATCTATGCAATTGTCTCTCATGAGTAAGGAAGGTATTCCTTCTATGAGAGCTTTTAAGGTTCAAGGATGTCTAATATGGAGCAAGGGTGAAAAGGAAGTGGAAGTTTTGATTGATAGTGGGGCCACTCATAATTTCATATCACAAGATCTGGTAGAGCTCTTGAAACTGCCTCATACCATTGTTTCAGGATACAAAGTCCAAATTGGGAATGGGGAGAAGATTACCAACAATGGTAGATGTGAAGATCTGATTTTATCTATGCAAGGGACTGATGTAAAGCAGAAATTTTATATTCTGAATTTGGGAGGGACTGATTTAGTACTGGGAATGGAGTGGTTAACCAGCTTGGGAGATGTGGAGATAAATTTCCAGAAACAAAGCATTAAATGGAAAATTGAGGGGTTGGATCAAAGCATACAAGGAGACCCCCAACTAAATTCTATAGAGGTTTCCTTGAAAACAATGTCACAGATAATACAGGATACTGGGGATGGATTTGTTGTATATCCTGAAGGGGGTTCAGTGCCATTGGAAGGAGAAAAGGTGATGGATCAGATCTGGAAGGATATTGTGGCTGAGTTTCCAGAAGTTTCCAGACCCATACAGGGTTTACCTCCAAACCGAGCTTGCAACCATGCCATCAACATTAAAGAAGGAGCTGAGATCCCCAACATTAGACCCTACAGGTACCCACAGTATCAGAAGACAGAGATTGAAAAGATCATTAACAGCCCTTACAGTAGTCCTATTTTGTTAGCTAAGAAAAAAGATGGGGGTTGGAGGTTTTGCGGTGATTACAGGGCGTTGAATAAGATAACTATACCAGACAAATTCCCTATACCTATAATTGAGGAGTTATTGGATGAGCTAGGAGGAGCTACTATATTTTCCAAGTTAGACCTAAAGTCTGGTTACCATCAGATCTGGATGAAGGAATCTGATATTCAGAAGACAACTTTCTGAACACATGAGGGACACTACGAATACCTAGTTATGCCTTTTGGGCTTACCAATGCCCCCTCTACCTTCCAGGCTCTCATGAATCAGGTGTTAAGGCCATTCTTAAGGCAGTTTGCCTTGGTATTTTTCGATGACATCCTGGTATATAGTAAGACCGAAGAAGAACATCAGGAGCATCTAAGAAAGGTTTCCAGAGCATTAAAAGAGAATGAGTTGGTGGTCAATCTAAAAAAATGCTCTTTTGGACAGTCATATTTGGGGCATATCATTTCTGGAAAAGGAGTGTCAGCAGATCCTGCCAAAATTGAAGCCATGGTTAGCTGGCCTGAACCTAGAGATTTGAAGGGACTGAGAGGTTTCTTAGGGTTAACAGACTACTACAGAAGGTTTGTAAAAGGGTACAGTCAAATTGCCTTACCTCTTACACAACTTCTGAAAAAAGACAGTTTTTGTTGGGGTGACAAGGCTACTCAGGCATTTGAACAATTAAAGAGAGCTATGACTTCAGTACCTGTGTTAGCTACACTTGACTTTAATAAAATGTTCATTTTAGAAACAGATGCATCTGGGACAGGTCTGGGGGCAGTCCTAATGCAAGAAGGAAAACCAATTTCATACATGAGCAAGGAATTGTCAAAAAGGAATCAGAATAGATCAGTTTATGAAAGAGAGCTCATGGCTATTGTTTTGGCAGTACAGAAATGGAGACCTTACTTACTTGGCAGAGTTTTTGAAATCCATACTGATCAAAGGAACTTAAAGTTCTTGACTGAACAGAGAGTGATGGGGGAAGAACAACAGAAATGGACTTCAAAATTGCTGGGATACAACTTTATCATCAAATACAAACCTGGGAAGGAGAATAGGGCTGCAGATGCCTTATCCAGAAAGTTGACACTACAATCCTTATCCATTGTCACCTGCCAAGAGTGGGAAGGGTTAGAAGAGGAATTGAATTCAGATTGCAAATGCAAGGACCTGATTCAGAAGGTCATATCACAACCAGATGAGTACCCTGATTTCCAGATTATAAAGGGGTTATTGTATTACAGAAAGAAGTTGGGTTGCCAAGGGAGTCCCCAAGGGTATTAAAGATTATGAAGGACTATCATGAATCTGCAGTGGGAGGTCACTCAGGGTATTTTAGGACTATGAAAAGAATCTCCAATTTGTTCTATTGGCATGGTATGAGGACTGACATCAAGAAGTATGTGGAAGGATGTGCTACCTGCCAAACCAACAAATACCAGGCCCTTAAGCCAGTAGGGTTGCTACAGCCCCTACCAATTCCTAGCAACATATGGACAGATATCAGCATGGATTTCATAGGGGGATTGCCTAAATCTCATGGGAAGGATACGATCTTGGTTATTGTTGACAGATTAACTAAATTTGCCCATTTTTTGGCCCTCTCTCACCCCTATAATGCAAAAGAAGTAGCTGAATTGTTCACAAAGGAGGTGGTCAAATTACATGGTTTTCCAAAAACTATTGTAAGTGACAGAGACAGTCTGTTCATGAGCTCTTTTTGGTCTGAATTATTCAAGTTGGCAGGAACTCAGTTGAAGTACAGTACAGCATACCACCCTCAGACTGATGGGCAGAGTTTTGAAGTACAGTACAGCATACCACCCTCAGGGCTTTATTTGGGCAAGACCCTCCTGCCATCATCAGAGGAGATGCAACACTTACTGCTGTAGAGGAAGTGTCCAGATTAACATCCCAAAGGAATATTATGTTGGAGGAATTGAAGAAGAACCTAGAGATGGCTCAGAACCAGATGAAACAACAAGCTGACAAACATAGAAGAGAGGTAAAATTGAACATTGGGGATCAGGTCTATTTGAAAATTCAGCCTTATAAACTCAAAAGTTTGGCCAAAAGAATAAACCAAAAGTTGAGCCCTAGGTTCTATGGGCCTTTTGAGATTATTGACAAGATAAGTCCAGTAGCATTCAAGTTAAAGCTGCCAGAAGACAGTAAAGTACACCCGGTTTTTCATGTTTCCCTACTGAAGAAGGTGCTATCACCAAACACGTCCTACCAGCCTTTACCTAAGTGTTTGGGTGAAGACCTTGAATTGCAGGTAACACCGGAGAAGATAATGGATTCCAGAGTGAATAAAGAGGGCAAAATTGAGGTGCTGATACACTGGAAGGGGCTACCAAGTTTTGAAGATTCTTGGGAATTGGTACCAGTGATGAGAGAGCAATTTCCAGAATTTCACCTTGAGGACAAGGTGAATTTTCAGGGGGAAGTAATGATAGACATCCAGCTCAGCAGCCCACTCATTATTTTAATAAAGTGTATCAAAGGAGGAGCCGGAAGATAGTTAGTTAATTAGCTAAGTAACTATTAAATGATACTTTATCCCTGCGTGGATATTTTTACTATAAATAGAATAATAGAAGCTGTTTGTCAGTAGGCTGTTATTTGGTTGTGAACTTGGCTTTTGGAGATTGGGCATCTCGAATAGTCCCTGAGCACTGTATCCCCGTGAACTGTTCAGTTGGAGAATAAACCTTTCGATCTGATCTTCTACCTTGTTATTGAATTCTTACTTTTCTGCTTGAAAGTTATCTGTGATCTAACAAGCCATCAATAGAATTAACACGAGTGGGACCCCAGACATCTGTATAGATTAAATCTAGAAGTCCAAAGCTCGAAAGAGATGATTTTGAAAATGGCAGCTTATGGCTTTTATTACTAGCACACGAGACACACAAAGAGTTATTCGAAGTAACATCGGAAAAGGAAATACCTAAGGACGACAAAATTTTTTAGTAATAGGGAGGGCTGGATGTCCTAAGCAACAGTGCCAATTATTAAGGGAATATTTTTGTGTGATGTGAGCAGATGGAGATGGTGGAGGGGGTACATCTGGCAAGCTGTAGACGTCTCCTTTATTCATACCCCGTAACAAAATTGCTCCCGTTCGCCGGTCCTTAACAAGACAAAATGAAGAATGAAATTCAATTAGTACATCATTATCACGACATAATTTGGCAACAGAAATTAAATTGGTATGAATAGAAGGGACGAAAAGGGTATTAGGTAGAGAAAGAGAGTGAAGGGTCATATGCCCAACTTGTGCTATCGCAAGACCTTTACCGTTACCAATAACGAGAGAATCAGTGCCAGTATAATCGGATGTCAAGGTAAGATTATTCAGGTTGTTGGTGACATGATTGGTTGCTCCAGAATCAAGTAACCATCCATTATGATTAGTGACAGCCGTGTTGACCTGAGGAGGATAAGCCTGTTGTTCAAACCGATGCCAACAATTGAGAGCGGAGTGGTTTGGTTTCCCACAAATTTGGCACATAATATTTGCTCCGAAATTGGGATTACTATTCCCGGAGATGTTGCGGGTTGTCATATTGTTGGTGGTACCCCGAAAAGTATTCTGGCCACGTCGGTTTGAATTTTGAGAAAAATTGGGCCGCTGGTTTCTGGGCTGACTCCCAGTAGAACCCCGGGCTGAGTTGTTTGTGCGGCTGGGCTGATAATGAGATGGGCCAGGGCCCAATAAAGAAGGTGTATTAGGCTGTCCTGGAGTTCTGCGGGTAGTAAATGCGACAGAGTCCCCCATCGCAACGTTGTTCGCCGTCACCACGCCAACCGACGTATCCAGAGCCTCCTTCCGCCGCAGAGTAGCTTCGAACCCAGTGAGCAAGGCGTAGATGTTGCCGAAACTGTTATCTCCACATGTGCGAATAGAGTTTGTGAAGGATTCAAACTCAGGTCGGAGGCCCTCCATGGCTTGAAGGACGAAATCGTCGTCGTCAACAGGGCGGCCAGCCTTAGCTAATTCATCGGCGAGGGTACGGAGATGATGGAGATACTCACCCACTGCCTTAGATCCCTGTCGAGTGTGGCGGAAAACATCTTTCATATTCCGGATTTGAGGTGCTGAACGGGTGCCGTAAAGCTGCTCTAGGGTCTTCCACACCGCAGCAGAGGTACGTGCGGATCCAACCAATGGTTTGCACGCCGAGCTCAGGGAGGAGACAAGGGCATGTCGGAGGAGACGGTCTTGACGACTCCACCGGAGATGGCCGGCCTGCAGCTTCACTGGCAGGTGGCAGAACAGCACCATCACTGATGTATTGGTCGAGATGAGAGCCAACCAAGAGGTCAAGCACTTGGTCACACCATATGAGGTAATTCGTTCCTTCAAGTTTTTCTGGGAAGTGGCTGGGGTTGAGGATGATTAATCCATCTGGAGTGAGGGGGTTGATGACTGCAGTAGAGGAAATTGTAGAAGAAACGGTAGGCTGCCCGTTTGGGGAATTTCTGAGATCCCCTTGCTGAGGGGGGTCGTCTGCCTCCATAGGAAGAGGGAGATGGCTGGTTAGAGCTCGTGTGGCTCTGATACCATAATAGAGAGAAGAGAACAAATGTTTTGAATATATTTCTGTGTGTTAAAACTGGTTTACAAGGCTGCTATTTATACATCTCCTAATCATGTATATAATAATACTATAGTAAATGCCAAAGATATGTAACGGCTAACTACAATATTGTGTTCTAAATACAAATTATTTCTTTCCTTCAATAGATTCGACATGAATTGACTGCATTAAATGTTGAACATTTAATGTTTCAAGTTTGGTCCAAATTGAATAACCATTGATTTAGTTTTTGTGACTACTATAATTAAAAAGACCGGTGCTTCTTAGTTTTGATAAAACAGAATTTTTTACATGGCTTCCTCTAGTTCTCATTATGAGCATTATGATTCTTAAATGCAGCGAGAAGACGGAAGAGTGCTTTGTGCAATCACCAAGTTGCATGACTCATTTAACAGGGTTGAAGAGAATACCAAACCTCTTGCATTTGGTTCTTGGCATTAATGGATTGGGGGAGTTCAGTGTATGGTAAATAGTTCTGCTTATCCTCTATTTACTGCAGATTTTTTAGCATCATAACAGTCCCTCTCCAGGTGCGGGACTGATGTTAAACAGTGCGTCAGTGCGAGTTCGTTCAGAATACTATCCAATTCTTTGATGGCTTGATCTAAATTTGGAAATAATGAAGGAACGAACAACCAAATGTTGCATCATTTTTAAATTACGGTGTACTGTTTTTCCCATTTTCATACAATGCACATTAATATCTTACTGAGACTTATTTTCTGTTTTCTTCTACAGGGATATAAACAAGAGAGTTCTTGTTTCCAAATTCTCTTCTCCTCATACTTCAGTTTTTCAGTGTGTTCCTCTTAGTCTGTTTACATGGAAAGTAGGATGCAATATCCTTCAAGATCTGTGCATTGGGGAAGTTTTTGATAAAATTGTTGATTCCACTAAGGCATCACTTTCAGTAAAAGGTGGCAATGAAGTTGTCAGCTACGTAGAGGGTGATGAGGTGGTGGTTTGGCTTTTGGTTTCAACTGCTCCAGATTGTGATGAACTTGGGTATCAGTACCAAATAAGTGAGCAATCAGACCCACTTAGATGTTGGAGGCTTGCATTACTGGCAAATAACACTGTAATCATGGGCGATATGTTGGAACCCAGGTAAGGAGAACATAAGCTTAGGTCTCTATGGAGACAGACTAAAAGATGTCTCTGGGTATATCATCTTAGTGCTTTTTCCCTAAAAATATTTAAAAATCATGGACCCAGCTTTAGATTCCTTGTCTGAAGATGAGCATGCTCCCTTAATTCACCCACTTGGGCTATTTTTGAAACTTCTACCATGGTAGCACATGGAAAAGATATTGAAGAAATTGGTTTTTTGATGTTTGGTTTAACTTGAAAAATATGAATGAAAACTAAATTTCATAAAACAGTTTTACATGTGATTTCTTAGCCTTACATAATAAAAAACTAAAGAATGATATATTGAGTTTGAATACTCCCTCCATCCCTTAAATTCTTCCCACTTACCTTTTTGGGATGTCCCAAAAAATTCTTCCCATTTCCCTTTTTGGAAAGCTTTGCGTGGCTACCATTCATTTACCTTTTTCTTACTCAACCACAACCATACATTTCCACTTTATTCTCACATTCTTAAACTCCGATCCAAGTCAAACCGGGAAGAATTTTGCAGGACGGAGGGAGTATGTATCTAAAGTTGATATATTGAGCATGAACATATATCTAAAATTTATTTATTGAGTTTGAAACAACTTTTTTTTAATTTCCCTCGCATTTTCGTTCCTTCCAAATATCTTCATATATTCTTTTCTTGCAATTTCCCGAGTTCTAAATGGATTCACATGCCCACCTGTGCGCACACACTTGTGGGAAGGTTAGGACTCAGGACTATCGTTAGGAAGGCATATGCAAACTGACCCGGTAAGTTAAAGTACCATGGGCATAGCATAGCTTCAATTCCTTGAACTGAAGATTCTTTTAGATGGCTATGGTGGCGTACTGGCGTCATATATGTGCATACATTTTGGAATTCTCACAAACAAGTAATAACAACATTATAAAGAATTTACTTATGTTATGCCAATGGAATAACAAGACAATGCCCCAGAACATTGTTTTTACTTTTTAGGTCTGGGACTCTGGTGGGAGTTTCACCACACAATATGAAAAAACAGGCCTTAATCCTAATTCACTTGTATTGGCTGCATGAACCAATAGATAATCTTCTTAGGTTATCCACAATATCTTGACTTTCCACCCTTCTTTATGTTGTACACTTTGTGCTCATTAAGTTTCAATGTCCCAATGTTTTTTACGCATACTCAATTCATGTCATCTTTTATCTACCACAATTCCTCGTCAAAACTCTATTACTTCACATTTCCAAGACTCCATTCTCTGTGCTTGGGACATTTACCAACCTCTCGATGGGAAAGGTGTGTGAACAAACATAGTCAGCTTTCCCATATATCTTCAACACACACATCTTCGATACACTCATCTTTTTCATTACGTCTATCTGGTTCGTGATCAGAGGCGAATTTGGTTTTACACTGGCCAACAATTTATCGCAATCCTCTATTTAGGCTAGTTGACTTGCTATGGACAACATAGGGTCACATGCCGAGTTGGAATAGGAACATAATAGATTAATAGCGCAAAAGCACCCTTCATGCAGAAGAAGCTTTTATATTAACTGTTTTTTCAGCAACACAAAAATCCAATTTGCTGCAGGACTGCTGCAGTAGGTGCTTCTGTTGGAAGTGGAATTATTGGTACAAGTGATGGACATGTCTACATGTGGGACTTCGTCACTGGAACTAAAATTGGAAGCTTGCACCACTTCAAAGGTAAATTATTGTTGAAGTCAGAGGTGGTGTTTTGTTCAATATACTATTATACTCCCTGCATCGCATAATGTAAGATACATTTGGGTTTGACAAATGAAGATAGTAAAAGATAAAGTTGGTAATTTAAATTCTAACCTCGAAAAAGTAGGACGAGTCCACAAAAAGTAAAACGGTGAAATTATAAAAAGGATAAAGTTGGAAAGTAAAAAGTTTGTTGATTTTAATTTAGGAAAATGTTCATAGGTAGTATTATTCAGACAACTATAAGGAAAGTGTATTTTACAAAATGGGATGGAGAGGCTGGGAGTACTATATATCTAATCATTTTATGCGTAGTTATAGTAAGATTTTGATCATTATAATTACAACTCTAAATCTTGGGGGAAAATAATAATTCTCCCCAAGCAAAGCTAAATCCTGGCTCCGTTCTTATTGTATAGTTAGCCTGCAAACTTCATTTCTAGAATCGATGCAAATTTCATAATTTGATGACGTTCTTTTGTTATTCTTCTAAACACTAAAGAAATTGGATTGTCATTTACTCTTGAATTATTATGTATGTGTATCTACAAATCCCAATTCTGTGCTAGTTTCTGGTATTTGCGTGAAATATATATTGTAAGTTAGTTAATTGTCTAAATTACTTTCACTTTAATTCTACTTGATTACCATTTTTTAACACACACCATATGCAATTTGGTCCCGCATTCTGGATCGGAAAAACATACGGAGTACTTAAGTTCTCTACGTGCTACATACTTATGAATGCCATTCAGACACATTTTAGACTTTTTTAATTTTCTAAAACCACCTAATATGTTGGAATCTTTTAAATGTTCCCTGTTAGATGGGTCGGTTTCGAGTATAGCCACAGATGATTCACATATGGGTGCTTTGGCTATAGCTAATGATGGAGGTCAACTGATTGTGTATTTGCCCACTTGAAGGGGTTCTGCAAATTTCATGCATAACATAAATGAGCCTGCATTCAGAAGGCAAAGGATATATCTATTACTTATACATCATAATCCCGTATGAGTACATGCCTGAAGACTTGGCTTTAAAATTCTGTTGTATATTTGTATTCATACCTTAAGGACACTTCCAAAGGATGTTGAATGAACTGAAATACGTTATACGTGGTATTTCTAAAATTTGAATCCTTCTATATATACTTCATAGTGAGGTTTCATTAAGTTTTTCATTTACCCTCGCACCATGGCTTCCTCTTATAAATGTTCTAAATTCGTACAATGCATCAAGATCATCAATTTCACCACTTCTTACTCCACTACATATAAAAACTTCCACTTTGGTTTAAACTTAATAAAATAAACTTTTCAAAATGTTCAATATTACTAAGATGTCTAGTAAATTTTAGTTTAAATTTTTTTGTTGACACTTCAAAATTCAGATTATTGAGCTGTTGTATATACAAAATATTAGTTAAGCAGTATTTATGCATTATGGATTATACATTTTTGGTAACTTTAATTTTGTAATAAGTATCGAAACATTCATGCAATTTTTTACGGACTCGGTGTTTACCAATATTAAAACTTCTAATTTAACTAAATATCAAAATTTACTTTTGCATGTGGAATGATGCCTCATGTAATAGACTAATAGTGGCACATATGGTAGGTCACAAGGGAAAAGGTACATAATTCTAATTGATTTCAGTTTTCGACAACAGTATTTGAGTTGCAGGTGACATAGGAGAAGAAGGTACATAGCATGAAGTTTGTGGATATGGTAAGATTGTCTGAGAAGATGACTTTAGATGAGGAAGATGTAGGCATGGGTGTAGCTGGGGAGGAATTTTAAGGTAAAAAATTCCGTGCAATTTTTTTTCAAAGAATATTCTTTGTACCGGCCCAATCCGGCTCAGTACCCTGGCTCTGCCCCTGACCCTGGATGTAGGCCACCATCTTTGAAAGCGAGGTAACAAAAGGAGTGGTGGGGGAGAGAGATATCATGGTCGAATATAGAGATAGGTTGCAATGATGGATCAAGCATAGATCAAGTATTGTCATTTTCAATTTTATGTGAAAGTTGATGTAAATAGACCAAGGGAGGTGTATTCCTTTGGGACTTTATAAGACATTTTAGGATTTTCAAAATCTGGATGTATTTAAATGAGACATTATGAGAATCTCAAAAAGTCACGGTGTATTTAAAACATCAACAAAACGTTGAATTCTTTTTTGGATTAGGATTTGGTAGGATTTTACCATAAAAATACACTGCCAAATCCCATTATCAAATCTCATGTGCATACGTGAGATTTGTGAGACAAGAATTGAGAACGAGACTCGAACTACAATTCTGAGAACTATTTTTCTTCTTGTTCTAAGAAGTTTGGGGGAGGCGCCAGTGTGCAATACCGCTGTGTATGCCACTTGGTCACAGCCAGGAACCTCCTTCCTTTAATAGTGAAAAGGTTATTGGGAAAAGTCATGATCTTCTCCTTGCTTGCTTCCGGCTCTGCATCTGAAGCATCGTTGTGGGGTTTCACACCAAGAGTTCCACCGGTCAGTCAACCTCTTGGTTTCCAACCGGTCGGTGAATCCATCGAACTCTGTTATCTCTATCATCGTTCCCCGGTAAAAATGTCTTGAAATGTCTCGTACCAAATGCCTTGAAGTTCGATATGTACAAAAAAGTCTATTCAAATCTCATATCAATACAAATCTCAAAGTGTCTTAAAATGTCCATTTTCAAATCTTACTGATGTGCACATGATTAATTAGTCGAATGAGTTACCATTGAAGAGTCACATTAGCAATACTGATTTTTGGGTAAAGGAGCATAACTTAGCATTATGATTTTTGGCATCCAGAGTGTGAAAGGGGTTAATGACATTATTGCACATGTGAGCACATGTTTGCTTATGGAGTCTAGCCAAGGATGAAGAGTGGTGAGGTGAATTAGGGACCAAAAATAAATAGTTGACCTTGGAGCAGGTAGGGCAAAGGGGCAAGTTGAAGGGAAGGGAATGAAAGATACAATGGAGGATGTTATTTGATGTGACTTCCTCAACTAAGGGAAAAGTAATAATGATATGAAAAAGGAAATATTGTTGTTTTTAAGGGACCGAGTAAGTAGGAATGTGAGGAAGCAAATATGAAGTAATTAGGGCCACAATGCTGATTGGAGCCCGCCTTGGCTAATGTGCAGACCACCAATGAGGAAGGTCGGAATGAGAAAGCTTTATGGTTGATTGAAGAATAATGTTTGGGGGTGTTCTATACTCGTGGATTGGATCGTTATTCTCGCTTTGACATGTTGCAAGAAGAACATTGGATTAATATAAAGAATTATTATATGTTTTATATATTGTTTCATTTGTTACGTGTTTTTATTTATTTAAACTCTTTGTTTCATTCTTTATATAAATCAATTCTTGGTTTCATTAGGCTAGTTGTTAGACTTCTAACCTCTCAAGAACACACTCTTTGAAAGGTATGAACCGAGAGTCCCTTTGTCCTACTATTCCTAAACTTGTCTATGTACATCTCTACGCACAAGAAGTCACTTTTGACCAATTAAATATTATTCTGACTTTCTACACAGTTTCTCCAGTTCCTTCAAGATCTTTGTGTTCAGGTATTCTTCGCTCCTTGCCTTTTCTTCTCCAATCTTCTGCCTCGATCGATATGTGTCCCAAATACTGCTCCTCTGATTCGGAAATGGCTTCCCAAGGGGATGACCATATCGCCGCCGTTGTGCACGTCATAAGGGTCCCCTTTGCTACTGGTTCCAATGAGGCGACGGCAGAGACTAGGGCGGAGGCGGAGGAATCTTCCGCGAGCTCTTCTACTGATGAGGATTACGACGACACCAAGTCCAGTGATGAACTTATCTCAATGGCGGCCGGTCTCCCGGGTGATGTCCCTCGTCATAAGGGTGACCTGAGGCTAATTAGGGAAAGGAGGCAAAAAATGACCTCCCATAATAGGGCCCAAATTCCAGCCCTAATTCCGGACCCGGTGGATTTTCGTCTTCGGGCTGGGCTTCACCCAATGCGCCACCTTCCTGGGATGGTGGTAGTCCATTTCGACTCGGTGAAAGCCGGGCTTAGATTTCCCTTACACCCCTTCTTCGGTTCCTTTCTTAATTTTTACGAGATTGTATCGGCCCAAGTTATGCCGAACTCCTATCGGGTAATAGCGGGTTTGATTTGTCATTGTAAAGATGCCGATGTTATCCCCACCCTAGAGTTGATCCATCAATTTTTTAAGGTGGCTCCCCAACAGACACATGGTTACCTGGCGGCGACTGCCCGGACGGGTCACATTTTGTTTAAGGGCAATCCCACCTCGATCAAAGGGTGGAAAGACGGGTTCTTTTTTGTCTCCGTCCCGGACGGCCTGATTCCCGATAAGTGGAATGCATTTCCCCACAAAACTCCCGATCCGCTTCTCACCAAACAAGTTTGCAAGGATGTCTTCGCGGTAGAGAAGGACAAATGTTGTGATATCATGGGATATCTGACCCCCGATCGACTAGTCAAGGCCGGGATAGGTACTGCCCGATCTCTTGGATTTACTTGTTTAAGAACCAAGTACCATGGTCCGGGCGGTCCTTCCCGTGCGAGAAACGTTCTCTTTTCTTTGTTTCCCACGTGATAAGAGCGCTCGGTACTAACATTTTCCTTTGTTATTTTTTTTCCAGCTCCCAATCCAGACGCTCCAATGGACAACAGCCGTGTTCTAGCAGCCGGTGGGGTCGGGAAGAGGAAGAAAGCAAGAAAGAATCCCAAACCCAATCCTTCCACCACCACTGCTCAAGATGCCGAGTCTTCTCAACCCGTTCAGGAGCCGGAACCCATCCAACAGGTCCCTCATCAGGACCATTATGAAGGGATACTGATCGACGATCGGTTCGGATCCGACCAGCTACATCAATTCTCTGAGCACTTCCAGGTTGCTCAGGATGCCAACATGACTGCAGGTGAGACCAACACCGTCCACCTTTCTACGCAGGTCGAACGGATCTCTCTGGTAGATCCAGTTCATGAAATGTTGGAGAAGGCTGGTTCCCCTGCAAGCCAGATTTGGTCCACTTCTTCGTGGTTCAACAATTTTGTCGTTCCTAAGAAGCCGGTCGAGCAATCTGAAGAATGCCTTGCTTTGGCATCTTTGAAGGTATCTCATTTTTTTTGCTTATAGTTTCTCATAGTTTAAATTCTGTTCTACGCTATCTTACTCCTCGAACGACATTCTGTAGGTTGGGCTCTACAGCCTGCAACTGAGGGAGGCCCAACTTGCTAAAGAGCGGGACCTGATCGTCGCTTAGACTTCCGCTGAGCAGAATGCGGCTGCTGCCTTCGCCGCTTTGGAGACCGAACGGAAAGCCTCCGTGGAGGAGAAGCAACGCCTCGAGTTAGAGCTTGATGAGCTCAGGGTCTAGCTCGGGGCCTTCCAAGCCAAAGTTTACGTTGCTGAAGCTGCTTTGGTGAAGTTCGAAGAGACCGCTCCCCGTATCCCGGACGGACCTGCTGAGGTGAAGGTTGATCTTTCCGCCGTCCGGGAGGCATTTAAAGGGTCTGAGGAGTTTGCTGCCCTGAAGAAAGATTATGCGCAGCAGGAACTCCCGGCCACCTTCGGTGCTTATCTCGACCAATTCTCCACGGGTGATGCTCGCCGCAGTGAGGGGGTTAAGCTGCTTGACCAGGATCCAAGGGGCAAGAAATTTAATGACTCCCTGGCCCGATCTCTTTATGTTATGGGCTGCCAGCATATCCTGACCCCCTTTGTGGCCAAGCTCCAAGAGATGCTAGGGAGGCCGATCGAGCTTACCGATCTTCCCCAGGTGCCCATCATTGAAGCCCAATTTGAGAAATATCAAAGGGACCTACAACGGGTTGCTGATCGTGAAGCGGGGAGAGAGCCTGATCCCCCTACTGATTCGGATGAGGAGGAAGGTGATGAAGAAGAGAACAGAGAGGCCTCTGGCCAGTAGATTTAGAATTTCGTATTTTAGCAACTGTAATCCCTTCCCCCTTCTCCTTTTTTGCAAATCACATTTGTACTTTCTGGCCGATAGAGCCGATGAATATATATAAGATCTCTTTTGCACAAAGCTTCACGTATTGTCTTTCTTGCCTTTATTGATTTATTGCTTACCATTCGGGATTCGGTCTGTTTTATAGGACTTAACAGTTTTTCTGACCTCATTTTTTGATCATTCTTCCTATAACCGTTC